AATCGACGCGCGCGCTGACCAGAGACCGACTTATTTTTTTTTTGGCCTTAGGCCGAAATTACAAGCTTAACTTCCCTAATATTGGGTGCCGATTTTTTTTCTTGGCATTTAAATTGACTTAGGACTAGCTTGGCTATAAATTCAAGATGCTGTCTTAGTCTTAACACTACATCTGAAATAAATAATTATCATTTGGGCAATTCTATCCAGAGTAGTAATATGTGTCTATGACGGAGCTGTTAAGAGAATAAACCTAAAAACTTGTTCAAATCTTATACATGTACATCCATCATCTAGTAATGGTCAAGGAGATTTCAGACTAGGAGTTTGGGATCATTTCTCTGAATCATCAATAAGATATCATGCATGGTTAATTGGCCCTGTCACAAACATTACACTTCCTCTCATAAGGCCAAAAAAAAAAGTCTCCGGTTTCTGGTATGCGCGCGCGTCGCCAAAATAAAAATGTTTTTTTTTTCAACGAAAGATGATGTCTCAAAACCGCCAAACTCACTGGTTTGACTGGAATCCTGCTGCTGCACAATTTTAACGTGTTTTTAGATGGGGTTATGATCGAGAATAAGCTTTATGTGGCCTCTATGGTCTCACATAATACTTGCACTAAGTTTAGTCGGGCACCATTTGCAGTCATCAGCCGACATTTGAAGCAAAAAAAACAGGTAAAAAAAAAAAGAAGCCGCGTCGCCGCACCACTTTTTGGGCAAGCTCCATACCAGAAACGGAGACTTTTTTTTTTGGCCTAACGCTGAATTGCCCACTTCAATAGCAAACTGTTTCATAATGCGCCTATCAAATGTCCACCCCCCCCCCCCCCCACACTACCCCAGGTCCAATGTGGGAATTTGGTCACATTTTTCATGCCCCAGGGTGGGGATTTTGGTCACTCAAATTACACTGCTAACATTGGCGTACTAATGGAAAGGCAATCACTAGTGCGCCCCACGTATGTAAGTCGGGGCATGGTCGGGGATTGTCACTTAAATTTTGCCGGAGGGGTGGGGATTTTGTCACTTCAAAAGTGACAATCCCCACGTCTTGGGTGGGGCAGCCCGGGGGGGGGGGAGGGGTGGGGAAACAATTGATAGGCGCATAATACCAACAGATTAAATATAGTAGTAGGCCTACTTGGTCTATTTTTTGCATTTGGTCAGACCCGTCTTCATTATCAAAAAAAAAAAGAAGCTTACCATCACAACTAGTGCATGAAAATCTCCTTGGAGACTGGCACCCTTTGCTCAAGTGATATTGTCCTTGAATTTGAAGCTGCACGCTGTGATGTCGGGATTGAATAATAGGCCTCCTCTGTGCGATATCCTACTTGCATTACTGAAACCCAGAAAAAAAATCCCCAAGAAAAATATAAAATAGAAAAAAATCCCACATATTAAAAAAAATGGACTTTCACTTACTGACCAACTTTTCCACAGCCGAATTTTCTCACGCCCCTGGTTCTGAAAAATATATCTTGAATAAGTAATGAAGTGACGGTTAGGCCAAGTACCAAAAAAAACGTCAGTTGATCATCCAGGATTTTTCAAAAAGAGGAGGATGAGGGCCTTTTTATTTTTTATTTCTTATCAAAAAATAGGCTAAAATAGCCTGCTTACATGTGCCTTAAAAAGGAGGAGGCCCTTTTTATTTGATAGTTCTGGGTAGTTGTCTACTAGTTGATGACCACAAAACCTTCTTAAAGTGCTTATTGAACATTAGTAAAGCATCCAACTTCTGCAACATCTTTAAAAAATGTTATGCCTGAAATTAAAAACGAAACAAAAACAATTGATGCAGCCTCAAAAAAGGAAGTGGGTTTGGAACGATCAACTGGTATTTATTTTTACTTGGCCTCGTACTTGTAGGCGCAATAATAAGCTTTGTTTTAGCTTTATCTTTGAACTTGATGCTTAACCAACACAAATTATTTTCAATCTTCACAGAACTTTCCAATCTTGTCTCATTGCAAAATGCCTTGGATTAATCCTCCCAGGAAATTCAATTTACAACCACAAGGTCAAGATACACTACTTTTACTGGGTCTGCCAAATTACCCTGTCACTGGTCGTTGCCAGGTCACGTTTACATGAACATGCAGCAGTTTATTAACAAATATCATGTGGTATTCACTTTGAAACAGTCCTTGTACCACAATTAAGGATAACTGACACGAAACCAACAGGGTTAAAATGACTGTAAAAAACTAGGACAAACACGTACTCAAGAAATAGGCCTAGACCAGGTTGTGTTTTTCAAGAGGACACAATAACAATTAACATGGCCTGATGCCAGTACAGTGGCCACAAAAGGACGCTGTCAGACTTTTCATCTTTTGGGGGGGGGGGGGGTATTGAAAAAACAGGGGGTATAGTACAGTAGTACCCTCTGTCTGGAGCCATCCACGAGATGAGGAACATGTTCTCCGTTCTTATCACTTCTGCCAAATTCTGGAATGATCTGTTGGACCATTTCTCTGTTGACGATGTGTGATGTATTAAACTTGCGGAGGAGATCGTGTAGTTTCGGGCCTGGTTCCCTAAAGAGAACAAAATCCCCTTTTAATTTGTTTGACTTACCAAACTTGTCGGCAACATTAAGAAAATGCTGGTATAAAGTCATAGCTAGAGGGCAGGGTTTGGAATTTTTGAGGGAAACTTTGGGGCTAAATGACAATGCCAAACGACAAAACGGTTACGAAAAATAAAGATGGCGATCAACGTGATTGTACCGCAACATGCAAAACCACACAACACCAACCGCGTGCGAAAATTGCAATTTGTACCCCAAGAAACTGACAAAATTACCAAAAAAAGTGTCTTTAGAAGTCTCCTTTAAATGGGTTGAAAAGGTCATATTTGTATGATAAAAAACAATGACTCTAATTTGATCGAAAGTAAACTTAAAGGGAATATACATCATTTGCTTTTGCTGTAATTTTCAGAAATGGATGGAATTGGGGGGTTGGAAATATATAGCAAATATAGTTACACTGACTTTTTTGAGGTTTTGGGTTCAAAAATGCTATAAAAACCAAGAAAAACAATCATTTTCCTGTAGTCTGGTTCCCTGACTCCATATAAGAAGAAACAGAGCAGTTTACATACATTGGGGAATTGTAAGGTCAGGGAACCAGTCTAGCTGGCTTGTACCCGTTCATAGGTGTGTAATCGATTGCAAACAAGTGCGATGGTCAATTGGGGCCAGTATTTGAAAAAAAGCCAGTTTTTTCCAACGCTGGTCGGCCGACCAGCGTTGGAAATTGATACAAAAATACCACTTTTCTTGAAAATGACAGTATACCAGGTGCCATGATTTTACAGGATGCTTTACACTGTCATTCACTAACAGTCCAGCAAGGTATTTCAAAAGGATTTGGTAGTTTTATTTTTTGATGTTTGCAAATGTTGTATTTTTTTCCCTTTAAAGAGGGCTGGTTGGTTCTTGGTTTGTTCTTCTCCTAAATACTCCACGTGGGAGTATATATCGTCAGTCCACCTAAAATGACGAGGATATGTTTTTGACGCACTGGCAATCAATTTGCGTTGGACAACGCGCGCGCGTTGCAAGCGTTATCTGCGTCAATTATGGTGACTCAAGAATACAGGAGGCTGGGGCCCGTAACTACACAATTGCCAAAATTGCTGTAGGCATATCAATGATATTATAATTTAAGTGAAAGTAAAGGGATAAAAAAGAAAATGTTTACCTAGTCCCATCAGTATTCCACCCTAGCAACATGTAAATGTGGCTCACGAGTCATGATTGATAAAGTATGAAGCCCGGGAAGGGACAGGGTGGAAATTTTTGTTGCAATTTCCTAATTCGTTCGCACGAATTACTAATTCGTTCGCACGAATTGCTAATTCGTTCGCACGAATTGCTATTTCGTTCGCACGAATTGCTAATTCGTTTGCACGAATTGCTATTAATTTCATTCGCACAAATTACTAATTCATTCCCACGAATTAGTAATTCGTTCGAACGAATTAGTAATTCGTTCGCACGAATTCCTATTTCGTTCACACGAATTACTATTTCGTTCACACGAATTACTAATTCGTGGGAACGAATTAGTAATTCGTTCGCTTGAATTACTAATTCGTTCGCACGAATTACTAATTCGTTCCCACGAATTGCTATTTCGTTCACACAAATTGCTATTTCGTTCCCACAAATTGCTAATTCATTCGCACGAATTACTATTTCGTTCGCACGAATTAGTAATTCGTTCGAAAGAATTACTAATTCGTGCGAACGAATTACTAATTCCAGCGAACGGATTATAGTAATTCGTGCGAACGAATTAGCAAACGCCCAAAAAAAAGTTCCACCCTGTCCCTTCCCGGGCTTCATAATAAAGCCACACATCTCTGCATACAAAATTTTCTGAAAGATTGTGTTCATTTCAGTTCAGGAAAGCGAAATAGGAATAATAGAGACTGTTTTTTGTGTTCGCTTGATATTAACTATGGAAGATATTTACCTGGTTAATAAACACGAACAAGACATTCCATATCTCTAGACGCCGGTAATTTTCATGGAAAAGTTGAAGAGAATTTGTCCCAAAACGACCATGCCGACACTGACAGTGAACCTTTTCGCCGTTCAGGGGTCGATCATGAACAAAACCCACACAATCATTGGCCAATAGTTGGCCCATTGAAATTTCACAACCAACGGCATGTTTAGCGCCCTCTATTGATCTTGACAAACATGAATGAAAAAACTCTCCCTTTTCGTTTTATTTCTTCAATTGTAGATCATCACTATGATTAATTTGTTTCAGAATTTTTATCTTCTTCTCAGTTTTACTGCATTCTTTAAGGAAAACTAAGCCGTTGGAAATCTGAAGTGTTCTATGCACGTCCGCAATCTTCTTTGCAGTGAAAAACTATATCAGGATGATAAATGCTTCAGCCAAGATACTTTGCACGCAAACAATCGATCGTAAAAAATAAATAATAATAATTAGACATCAACAGGCCAAACATTATTACATAGGGAAGCTTTATTTATTGTAGACAACAACAAGAAAAAAAACAAAGCTGAGAATATGCAGGATTGAGAGTGTATCAATGCTACGGTAAAACTCTTTTGAAAAAGCAAAAACAGAACAATTTGAATTTTTTTATTATTTTAAGACTAATATAATCTCCAAAAAAAAAATCTTACCTGAATTTAAAATAGATGTGCCGATTTTTATAATTTCTGAATGTCTATATATATGTCTCCACTGTGTCAGAAACTCTCTGATTTTATTACAAGGAAAATAAAATTTGGTCCTTTGTTGTCTTGACTTGTATTCTATTAAAAAAAAATAGTCATTTTGAAAACCAAAAAAGATTCCTCACATTTTTAACAGGTAGTTTTGAATTATCAAAATCAAATTCCAATTACATAATTCATTACAAGTGATTACTTGAACTTTAATCCTAAGCTGGGCCCGAAATGAAAAAAAAAGGGTTTTATTTGATGAAATGTGGTGCCGACTTCTTTAAAAAAAATAGCAAATAGTTATATAAATGTCTTCTTACTTATGAGCAAAATAGACAAACCAGTGCAGGTATGTTAGTACTTGTTCCTCGCGTCTTAAGCATCATTCACACAACTTTAAATGAAGAGCAATGGCTTTCCAGGAATATTCTTTAAAAAAAAATCTAAACACAAAGAAAATGCCACTTAAGGTTTTAACAAGCTGTATACTTTTTTTTGTAAAGTAACTCTTTAAAATCACAGAGCCAGTGTTCGTAATTTGAAAGCAATTTTTAACATGTGAAACTCCATGCAGACAAAACGAATAGTTAGTGCTATTAACACAAAAAAAAGTCTTCCCTACGAGTTAAATGCATTTTGCAAAAACTTAAGCTTAAATGGAGTCCACGCTGGGTGGTTTTGGTTTATTTTATCTATCTACGAGAAGCAGACAGGGCCGACTTTCACCCCGAATTGTTGCTTGGCTCTGCCGACGTCGGACACAGCAAAGTCCACCAGGGGTAGACGCTCGGTCTTCTTGGTGCTGTAAGAGACAGTGGTCTTGCCCCAGGTGTCGTCGTGTACCTGGTAACGAGAGGGACATTTTGAGTCAAGCATTTTCAAAATAAGATAATCATTTTTGTTTTCACTCATTGACATGTGAGCACTCTATGCACAATTTAATGTGTGTCCTGCGGCCGAATTAAATAAAAACTTCATGCAATTTCGTAATCATAACTCCACTTACAAGTCCACTTTTTGTATTTTGTACATTTTGCAACATTTCACATTGCAGGACGTCTCAGTTACGACACATTTCACAAAAGTTGTCACTGCGTCAGTCCGCGACTTTTGTCATTTTTGAAGAATGTTTGATTTTATTGCCTACTCATGATAGTCATTGCCGAGCTTAACATCAGGGATGATGCAAGGAATTTCTCAGCTTTGTTTTTGAGCACATGAAAATCACTGTTTTACCCGTGGACAGAACTTTGAGAGTTGCCGCTTGATTCTGAAGAAAGTTAAACAAAACCATCTACAAATGGCAGACGAAACACTTTTGTGACCCCCCCCCCCTTATGAAATTGTTGCAAACAGCTGTCTTAAAAGCTTTGATAATCCTCATCCAAGATGTTTTGAATACTTTTAAAAATGTGTGCAGCTGTTTACATTGTAATTAAGTGAGTGCAGCTACACCTAAAGGTACGGGGAAATATCTTCAGATCAGAGAGAGAAGTTTTCCTTACCCGACAGCCATCTTCTCCGTCCACCTTATACTGCAAGTCTTTCTGGGTGTTCTTGATGCTGATGCGTACGTCGTTGGGTCCCACTAGGGTCAGAGCCTTCTGGGTGCCACCCATGTGGTTCTCGACGGCGTGAGAGTTCTTGCAGTTGTAGGTCAGGTTCTGCTTGGCTTCAGAGTAGATCAGTCGCAGGAGGGTCAGCTGCACAGGCTTGACGCTGTAGCTGATCTGAAAAAAGCAAGAAAGATGACCAATGAAATACGTTTATTGGCTCATACATACGTGATGCGATCAAGCTAAATGAGTCCTTTGTCGACCACGGTCAATTTTTGTTTTCTTTTACAGATTTGAAAAGAGCACAATCTCAGCATTAATGCTGTGAAAACCGCATGCTGGTGCCATCTTTAGTTAAAAAATTATGGAAGTCCGAACACCAAGAAATGTGATGAAGTGATGTGATGTGATGAAGTGGCCCTATTTTGGCCTGAATCTCCAAATGAAAATTCCTGACAAACGACTCATGTAGCTTGATCGCATCACATATGTAGGCCTATGTATGAGTCGCAACAAAACTACTTGATATTCTATGGGCCTTTAATTACATTAAGAAATGAATGACATACCTCTGAACCATTCTTCATTTCAGAAAAGTCAACTGGCTCCTCAGGATCACCCAAGTAATAGGTGGCTTCAGGAATCTTAGGAAATGCACACAAAAACAAAGAAATAGATAATTAAAATAACAAGAATCAATTCATTCAAAGTCCTTTGCGTCGTTTTAAAGGCATCTATGCACAAGCTTCAGCTCAAAAAAAATGTCTCCAAACATTTCCTATTTAATAAGACGTGTATTTGAAACAGTTTTCTTAAATTAAAAATTTGTAAATTAAATTTTGAAATTTGTATTTGACATGGTATTGTGCATTTGTAAGGGTACCCATGAAAGACAAACTTCATACAATGGACCTCCCCTCTCTTAAAAAACTGAGAAATGTGTGTGTTGGGGGGGCTAAAACATGGGCATATTTTATTTAAAAAAAAAAAAATCCACAAATTTGACACACAATGTACGATTCTAATTTGTTGAACGCTGCCAAATTAATTGAAGACGCAGCATTCTCAGCTTGAAAATATAGGATTGAGCTGAAGAGTCCTTCAGGAAGATTGATATTGGAAGATGGTTTCTAAATGGCTGTTAGTGCTGTATCTGACCTCTGGGTAGTCTGGGTAGACGCAGGTAGCGTTGGTCTTCTTGTCGCAGTAGGCAACAAATTTGTCGTAGTGGGAGCCTCCACTGGGATCCAGGGTGTAGTAACCTGGCATTAATAGAAAAGAAAATGGCTCTTAAACTCTATTTTTTCTATGTATTAATCAAACAGCATGTGTATGAGTTATCATTGGTAACGATCGAGTGATGCAACTAAACTCTTTTGGCTGATCCTGGCCCTAAATTCAATATTTTTTTCGTCACCGGTTATTAATAACACTAGATACTAAGTATTTGTCGAAGGGCTTTGGAAGAGAAAATCCACAAGCTTACTCAGTTCGGACTCGAACCCACGACCTCCTGCTTACTAGGCAGTAAGATACAAGACATTACAAGTCCTGTCTTTTACACTCTCTACAATGCAACCAGTGAAAGAGATAATAAGTTTGCTCTTTAAAAAAAAAACCTTACCACTTGGGAGTATCGGGTGGCACTTGAAGAGATCCTTACAGGAGCGGGCTGGGTACTCTGGCTCACCATTGGGCAGCAGCAGCCTCTCAATGCGATTTCTCAGCTGAATGATGCGGGCCTCGTAGTCATCCTCGGCAATGGTAGCATCGTCGCCGTACTGGTAAGACAAGAAATCAGAACTGGTTGAAGCCAAATTTTGAACACTACAAAAATACTGGAAATTATTCAAGAAATCACTACTCACAGTGAAGATTGCTCATAGCTCCACAAAAAACCGCTACAACTGTACAGCAATATAAAGCGTTTTGAAATTCATCCCAACATGGCACTAAGACACACAGTGTCTTGCAAGTATCATCTCATAAAGTCTTCCAAATCTGTTTTGTAATACACAGGAATAATATCTTAAACAATTTTCAATGTAAGAATGCTTGCTCACCAAGATTTGTATCTAGACATTATACAATATTTTAAATGTTACAAAATATTTTTAAGCACTTACATAAGAAGAGTAGGGGTTGGGTCCCTTGTCACCCTGGCTAACACCATATGAACCACCAGAGTAGGCGTACTGCACAGTCCAGACGACAAAAACATTATCGGTAAAATAGAAATGGAATTGTATAGAATGAAGTCTGGATTTAAATTTCAATGACGCAACAGTTTCCTCTTTTGAGAGTGTCGGCATATTTGGTTTGAATAGTTGATGTGATGTTTCCAGATGGATGCCTTTCCAACTCTATTATTCAGATTCACAATTCAAATACCTAGGTCAACTATTAAAAGTCAACTGAACACAGATTGAATTTATAGCTAAGTATCAATTCAGCGAGCAGTTACATATTTTCAATTTCAAAAATATACATGACGGGAAATATCAAAGAAAAAACGCAAAGCTGACTCACCCCTGAGTAGCTGAGAGCTCCCTGTGTGGGGGAAAAATGGAAAACATTAGTTGCTGTTTTCAAAGAGCAACATCAACAAGTGTATCACAAACACCGTGAACAGGAAAGTACATCGTTCTATTTCAATAATATTTTTTAAAAGAAAGAAAAAGCTCCTGCAAATGCTCACCACACGGAGGGGGGAGGGGGGCCTGAACTTTATGAATTGTCAAGTCGGGAATTTTTATTTAGCATTATTAAGAGTTGAGTAGCAGAGTTAGTAAGATAACATTAAACAGGGCCCTGCAGCTTTGAGAGTAAACTACGTTCATATTTTACAAATAAATTTTGACTTTTAAAGGGCCATTTGTTGCAAACATGTTCATATTTGCAGGAGTTGAAAAAGTCAAGCCTTTTTATTTAGCATTATTAAGAGTTTAGTAGCAGAGTAAATAAGATAACATTAAACAGGGACCTGCAGCTTTGAGAGTAAACTACGTTAACGGGCCAATTGTTTCAAATGTGTTTATATTTGCAGGAGTATGCCCTAACCCTGCACATTTTTATAATTGAGGTCTGGAGACTATAGACAACAGGACTGATACAGCGGTCCATTATGATTGCAGAACAGGTGCCAAAAAAAAACACCCAATGGTTAGACTTACAGGTGCTCCAGCCCTTCCTGGGGGTCCTGGGGGTCCAGCTGGCCCACTCCTACCACCTGCACCACGCTGGCCCTAAACAACAAAACATACAAACAAACAAAAACCTGAAATACAGGTGACTGTATTCTAGCAAACGCAATATGAAAAATAAACAATCATGAACTGAAAACTTCATTTAGAGCTTTTTGGACAACATCCAACCCACTGTGAAACCACACAACCACTCTGAAAGCACACAATGTTCAGTGTACAAGTACAAGTTTAGCGTTTAGCGTGAAGCTGTTGTAATCTATAAATAACATTACACAAATTGTAATTATTCATAAGATGGAATTCGCATCGGGGTGATGTTCATTTAATATTAGGTTTTGCCCTTCACCGACGTATAAACACTGTATACTCAGTGTGTCTCCCCCGAGTGAAAGTGAGAAAAAAATCACTCGGGTGGGACTCGAACCCACGACCTCCTGCTTTCTAGTGCAGATGTCTTACCACTCGACCACCGAGCTTGTCCGGGTCACCTGGCTGGTTCGAATCTGACGTAGCAGCCGGTACCGGAATAGTTTCCCGCTGCTACATCAGGTTCAAACCAGCCAGTGGATCCCGTTAGCTCGGTGGTCAAGTGGTAAGACATCTGCACTAGAAAGCAGAAAGTCGTGGGTTTGAGTCCCACCCGAGTGATTTTTTTCTCACTTTCACTCAGGGGTAACACACTGAGTATACAGCGTCTATACGTCGGTGAAGGGCAAAACCTAATATCAAATTTACAAATTGTAATGTTAACATGAAAATTGTCTTAGTCTTTGAGGGTTTTAATGGTTTCCCCTTAACCCAGGGAGAGCCTAGTCTATGTAATAGGAATGCCGTGGTCTATTATGCGCGAACAGATTTGCTGATTAATTAGGCAAGACCCCGCGTCTTGACTTCCTAGATTTTGACCAATCAGCAGGCGCTTTCTATAGGTCTATCGGGTCTTCGGTCATTCACCCGTTGCGTGTCATAAACATGAATGTTTAAAAAAATGTCACGGCGCACGGCGCTCGGTATCATGTTACGCGAATGCGCTCCCGGCTGTTGTTGTATTACAAAACGCTGCATTCGAATTGACCAATCATGGCGCGCGGTGTTCGGTATCATGTTACGCGAATGCGCTCCCGGCTGTTGTTGTATTACAAAACGCTGCATACAAATTGACCAATCACAGTGTTAGTCCTGATTTTGGGATGAAATGACGTCACGATTTATTAAAGTCGTCTCCGATTGGCTGGCACGCGGCTTGCATAAAATCTGCATGCTTTGACATATCAGACGTTAGACAGGAGATGGCTCCGTGGATAACGGGTGATACTCAGACTAGGGAGAGCCAGGAAGGGGAAGAATGTACCCCAAGCCCCTGATCAATATTTTTTAATAATGGCCTCAGTTTTTTTTTTCACGTAGAGCCTTGAAACGTTTTCCAATCAAGACCTTGCCCACAGTGAAGAAACACGATGTTGAAACTTGAACTTGCGTTGGAGTCAGGGTATCCGTCAATGCAGGCAGAATGTTATCACATATTTAACGCCTGAATTTCATTACTGTTGGTTACCCAATTTTGGTTAGTGTCTCAAAATGACCTTGAAGTACTTACTCCTGGTCCAGTTATACCGCGGGGACCTTGTTGACCGTTGTTGCCATTCCTGCCACGAGCACCATCGATGCCCTGAGTCAGGTAGACAAAAACCGTGTTAAATAATGCGTTTAGTTACATAACCATCTTTTTTGTACTTGCGTTTGAAACACAGATAGACAGACTGTCATGCCAGTGTTAAACTTGTTCACTTTTTTTGGCACTCCTTATTGCAGTAGTCCTCCAGGAATAACAAACTACCGACTCAACAAAATAAAAAAAATCATTTGAAGCCTTTCTTAATGATACTTGTATGGCGAATTACAAAGTACCGAGGTATAAGGGTCAGGAAAAATAATAATAATATTAATAATGTGTATTTATAAAACTCACATATCCACCAGTGTTGGTGCTCAAGGCACAACTTCATCATTACCCTGCTCATTGGGCCAATGTAACATTCCAAAGACAATCTCAGCTCCCTGGGGAGTATACAGCTCGGAAATGGCATTTCAGCACAAAGCAGGAAAAATCTACAATAACCATCTCTGCCCTCACGGGTACCCAATTTACTCCTGGGTGGGGAGAAGCAATGAGTGACAAAGTGCCTTGCCCAAGGCTGGACCTGAACCCACAACCTGCAGGAATTAACAATGCTCCAGACCATACTCCACATGTCAGGCTTTGGACCCTAAATGTACAGAATGACCCATGTATTAATTCTGTACTCAAAAGAATGAAGTAAACCTGGAGATAAAGACGTTTTACTTACAGCGGGACCAGCAGGGCCAGGTCTTCCAGTCGCACCACGGCCGCCGGTAGCGCCCTTAGGAAAAAAAAATAAGAAATTACCATCAATCCTACATCATAATAGTTGTCATGAATCAGTTTTACTATGAAAAAAAAACTGACTGCTGTTCCCACAAAAAAAGTCTTTTCTAAAAGCAGGCATAAACAAAAATATCCAAACTTTTTTTAACTTAGGGTAATTGTTACTTACTTTAGGTCCTTGAGGTCCTGGGGCTCCGGGAGAGCCACCCCATCCCTTGTGGCCCTGTCAAGACAGAAAAACTGATTAATGAAAATTTCATTTTGACAAAATTACAATTAGAAAATTTAAAGGCCGAGGAAATGTGAACAGGTGGGATTGAGTGCCACACGAGCCAGTGAAGTATCACTCAGCATGCTACTGAAGGCGTGAGATAGAGTGGGCTGAAGAAATGTTGAGGATGAGTTTTTCTCTGAACCATGCATAGCTCAAAAACAGACTGCGCTGGTGCAAGTAATGAGCAAAACATCCATGGTTCAAACCCTCCTTGAATCACCGAAACTAACCAATAACATTTTATAAGATAATTGTATGTGTGGACTTACCTGGACTCCAGTTGCGCCAGTCTCTCCACGTGCTCCAGCAGGTCCAGCGGGGCCCTGTCAACAAACAAACAAACAAATAAATAGAAAATAAACAAACAAATAAACAACTACACACTCCTCAATAGGTAGAATGTTAAAGCAACCAGAAAACCAATGGTGACCATTCTTTGGGGGGAAAAAAACATTTGGTCGATGAAAATCTGACTTACAGCGGATCCCATGTTTCCGTCAGCTCCTGCGCCACCTCTTGGTCCTGCAGGTCCAGCAGCTCCACGACTGCCACGCTCACCCGGACCACCCATTGGGCCTTGGCGACCCTGACAAGACAAAACAAAACCAAAACTGGAATAAGAAACCATTTGTATTTAGTCTAATTCTCAAGTGGACCAGTTGGATTCTCAAATTACTTCTGTAATATTCCTCTGACATAGAAGTGAGATATGACCCAAGAAATTCAAGTCCTTTCCGTGAACATAATCTTTGCTTCCAAAATGTCTTATATGTTATGGGTTAACAAATAAGGCTTCATTTATATTTAAAGGCAGGGAGGGTGCCCTCCCCAGATATGCTGCCCAAAATGTGCTCCCTTGCCAGCAAACTAATCTCAAGCTTTAAAATTTCAGACTAGATGTGCTCTGTTCCACTCACAGAATCGTTGCGCAACCTTCTGTCATTCAAGATGTCGATGTGACAAAAAATTGATTTAGTTGAATTGATTTCGATATTTGAACTCGAAGTTGAAAAAATATTGTTGTTCTTACGGGCATTCCAGCTGTTCCAGCAGGTCCTTGCGGTCCTTGAGATCCCTTGTCACCTTGAGATCCAGTGGCTCCTTTGGCACCAGTGGCTCCATCCACACCGTCCCTGCCCTGTGAGGAGAAAGAATCAGTAGATTCAAGCGCTCAGATAATGACGAGGGATCAAGCTTTTAAAAAAACAAATCTCAACGGAGGGTACTCTGGCTCATTTCCAATAATCAGAGCATACTGATCGGAACGTCGAGTTTTACATCCAACAGAACCAGTTGTGGGTTTTGTGCACAATCAGACTAAATGTGGGTAAATGTTGGCCATGGCATCTGTGTATGCCTCGTAGTCATCCTCAGCAATTGTAGCATCATCGCCGTACTGGTAAGACAAGAAATCAGAACTGGTTGAAGCCAAATTTTGAACACTACAAAAATACTGGAAATTATTCAAGAAATCACTACTCGCAGTGAATACTTCACATAGCTCCACACACAAAAAATGCTAAAACTGTACAGCAATATAAAGAGTTTTGAAATTCATCCCAACATTGTAGGTACTCATCTCATCAAGTCTGTATATGCCATTGGAATGCTGCGGCGATTATCCATTGCCACAAACAAAAACTGCCTGTTTTGGATAGGACTCAACTGTCGAAGTAAACTCACATTAGATCCGGTTGGTCCGCGTGGTCCCTTTACACCCCGGGCTCCCTGACGTCCTACCGACCCGTCCTCGCCAGGAGATCCACGTCTTCCTGGAGATCCGTCGCTACCCTGTTAGCCAAGAGCCAAGAAAACATATCACAGAAGGCACTCACTCGCTTACTCACGCATGACTTTTATTTTCACAAACCCTCTCTGGACTCAAAATCACCGTCTGTTTCAGAAAAGTTGACTCAACAAAGTTTTCTGAGGCTTACAGAACCCACAAGATGGCAAAGCATAACTACATATCTTCTTCATCCACCAACATTATTTTTAATATATTCAATTCTCTATTTAAAAAAAGGCTTGGGAAACTTGAAATTGGTTCAGTTTTAGTGCTCTTAAAATTTGGTGGAGAAAAAAAGCTTTCTATTATTTAAAACTTGACTAAACTTTGCTCTCTGCAAATTGAAACCCGTGCAGGGAAAAATGCTATATTTAAACTAGCAGTAACTCAAGAATGTACCCTGTGATACCCCATAAAACATAATAAATTCTTGAAAAAGACAAAAACCCTCGAGGTAAACTTGAAGTAACCGCATGGTTTAAGTTTACATTCTCCCTTGCAAAATCAATTTTAATAATGTGTAAAAAAAAAAAAATTATTAAAAAAAAAAATTAATAAAAAAAGGTGAATCATGAGCGATACTTACAGGTCTGCCTGCAGGGCCAGTGGGTCCTGGGGCTCCCATTGCTCCCATGCCACCCTGAGGAAAAACAAACAAGAAATGGTCAATATTACTAAATTCCCATCAAGACAAAGAAAAGAAATACACAATGTATCTAAATGGTCATAATTTATTTATAATAATAATAATAATATAATAATTTGGGAGGCTAATCATCCTTACTCGCAGCTGGTATACTGAATTGCGAAGGACGCGGCTACAACGTTGTCGGGCCGCTGGCACGTAAAGGCGCCTATGGCCGCCAGCCACATCGACCCATATATGACCACGGAGCACAGCCTGAGATCGAAAGTGTTTGATTTTTCCGGAGGGAGGAAAACCAGAGGGCCCGGAGAAAAACCCTCGCGGCACAGTAGAGAACCAACGCACAACTCTACTCACATGTGATCCGCGGCCAGGATTTGAACCGTGGTCACCTTGGTGAGAGGCGAGCGCTTTACGCACAAGCCACCCATGCCACCCTATTTCTACACTGATTACACAGATGAGTAAGTCCCCAAAATGGATCAAACTTATACATTGTATAATGTTTTCTATTCCACTGCTGAAGTAGTATGTAAAAACCCGTCCTTGGGCAGCCATACCTTCGTATGAAAATTACAAACTGCGTGTTCAACGCCATCAGGTGCGTGTGCGTCAGTTTGCAAAATGTTCTAAACACACGCACATGTTGCTCGACATTTTCTTCGAAATACGGCGCAACCGATGCGCGCCACGAAAACTGACGCCCAAAATGCCAATGCACGTGATAATCGCATGCACGCATGTTGCTAGAAATGTTTTCGAAATACGGCGCAACCCATGTGCGTCACAAAAAATTTGACACCCAAAATGCCGATGCACATGACAATCTGTGGGCAGTGACTGCATTTGAGAGAGACCTTTTTGCCCACTGTTTAGGTTTGGTGCATTTTTAACTTGTTAACGACCTGTTAAAATGAACACAGCAAGATACTCACAAGTTCTCCGATCACTCCAGATGGTCCAGCTGGTCCAGCGGGGCCGGCAGGTCCCTGCAAAACAGGAATTGAAACATCTTTAAAAAAAAAAGGGCAAGAGACATGGCATGCTGCCTAACCCGATATATCTGCTTGAGTTGGCCTAGAGATATCTTCAGTGATCTGGGGTTTTTTTGGTTTAAACCTTCATATTACTACATTTGTGTCAAAGTCGCTTTTCGTAAATCAATTTTTTTTTGTCCAGTTGCATGAAGAGGATTTAGCTAAAACAGATTTGAGAGATGCAAAATGGCTACATTCTTGATTTCCATTGATGAGCGCCTCTAGGAATAAATAAGACGATACTCACATCACCTCCGTTCCTGCCGTCTTCACCTCGTGCACCGTTAGGTCCTGGGGGTCCTGGGATACCACGGACACCTGCCGCCCCTGCAGCACCAGTGTCACCGCGTCGGCCCTACAAAATAAACCAATAAAAAAGAAATCAATGAATACTCCGTGTTATCACACACCGTCTGTGTGCAAGTTTCCTGAAGGAGTGGATAGGATGCCTGCACTTAACTCAAGTTTTTTTTTTTCCAAGTTTTGAACAAAAAAGAAAATAAATCGCCACTCACCATTGCGCCTAGTCTTCCGCTGCCACCGGTTGGACCCACCTCACCTCTTGCTCCCTGAGATCCAAAAAATAAATCAAAGAATTCAATTCTAATTTTAAAAAAATACATTGTTTTCTTCGTTTTTGGGGGGTTTTTTTTAATCAAACTTACTGGCCTAACGGCCAGAATACCAATCTTCTGTAGAACAGCAATAATGTTGTTTCAAACAGCAAATGTAAACAAAATTATTTTGGTCGCAATTATGTACTTGTGATAATATTGACGGGATTTCAAAATTGCTACTCACAGTTGCTCCCGTTGGTCCAGGCATTCCGCTGGATCCAGGACTCCCTCCAACTCCCTTTAACAAGTCAGAAATGAAATTTTAAAAGACAAAGTTTATCAGCGATGAAGATTTTCTGTGATCCCATCTCCCAGCTGAAAGATAGAAGTTACAGGTCATTCTACCTATCCAAAAAAAAAAAAATTGTGCTTCTTACTTTTTTTTTTAAAGGTTTTGATTCAGTTTCAGTTTTGATTGATTTCCCACTCAATAACATTACATTAACCCTTAAAAACTTTAAATTTCACCCAAGAATGACAGGCCATCCAGAAACCCAATAAAGCTTATATAGATGACCCTAGATAAATAAATAATTAACTTAAAGTTCAATGTTAGAATAATGAGACAGAGAAAGACAATATGCACGGATAGGACAAAGACAAGAACATGGTACCTATTTGAACCAACAGTAAAATAACAAAATAATTATATCAATAACGAATCGAAAATAGACTTAAGGAATTTCTGAGATGGGGTTCCTAAATGAGAAAAAAGAACATATATATTTCAAAATAAAATATTTTTAAAGGATGGCAACAATTTTGCGGAGAATTACATTTTTTAAAATAAAATCAGAATTTATTTAATCAATGACCGTTGACGCTTTGACAACTGACTGTGCCGTGTGATTTCATTCCATTCCAACTCTCACTACTTGAGTAAAACAGCACTGATGCCTCACCGACTTCATTTGTCACACCCAACACAAAAGTTTTTTTTTTAAAGCAAAGCATGTTTCACATAAGGTTGAAAACCTAAATTTGTCTACATACCGCTGCTCCTTGTTCACCAGATTCACCGCGTGATCCTGCTGCTCCTGTAGCTCCCTGAAAACCAATAAATCAGATTAACATTTCATTTAATGCCACGGCTTGATACCTACTGACACTTACAAGCCTCACTCCAAACTGATTTCTACAACATGAAACAATTTGTCATCGTTTTCGCGAACTGACACGCATGTGCTGTGTGCTGTGAGTTCGTGAAAACCGTGGTCTCAATCATTTCGATTTCAAGAACTGACACGCGGATGTACTCGCTCACTTCATACACTGACGTGTAATAAGATAGTTTGGGTTTTCACGAACTGAAACGCAACTGAAAAACACTTTGAAAGGTTTGACGCAAAATTGCTCATCTTGTGTCTCAAGGGGTGTCACTCTCCTGGTACTCAACAATTCATGCATGTGAAAAAAATGGACTCGGTGTCTGTGAACCATTGATATGTTGCCTCATCACATGGCCATTACACCCCCTCCCCCTCCCCAGACCCTCTCTCAACCCAAGGAGTTCTTGTGTATCCACTGACGTAACTTACATTTGGTCCGGTACGTCCTGGTGCGCCAACTCCTCCTGGGGGTCCCTGATCACCAACGGTTCCCCTCCCCCACCACCCCTCACACCCCTCCCCTAACCCTCTCTCAACCCAATCTACTGATGTGACTTACTGGTGCTCCAGTACGTCCTGGTGCGCCAACTCCTCCCTGGACTCCCGGATCACCAACACCTCCCCTAGGTCCCTTCTCTCCACGCGCTCCTACTGGTCCTTGCGGTCCCTGAAATACAAATCAAAAGTAAAGTTCTGAACGGATTCAGGAATCGAAGCTTGCACTAACATCATAAAACAAACTTTAAGGGTTATCTCTGAGCCTCTTCATAGTTTGTCTCTGCAAGCTAACGATCACAAATGTTGTATGAAAACAAAAGGAAAGAAGCCGGGATTTTAAGAAAATGGAAAAAAAGTTATTCACCTGTCCTCCTGGGATGCCTTGGGCTCCACGCTCACCAGCTCTACCTCTCTCACCCTGCGTCAAGGAACAAACACAACAATGAAATTTCAAATTTTATAATTTCTCTCCTTGTGCACATACATACTGACATTTGTATCCTTGTGGAGACATTTCTTTGTTCTCGCGTAGTAAAGTTTTCGAGTTTTGAAAGTGTAGTTTCAAAATGCTCTTATTTTAACCAGAATTAATTTCCTTGGCTGAAATTCGGACTTAATATCCCTTTTCTAAAACTTTTCAATTCGCGACAAATCAATCCAACTTGGAAATTCCTAGTTTTTGAGTAAAATCCATATATCTATTTTGTGAAAACCTTGTGGAGATGTATTCATCTATAGAAATTGCCCTGTGGAGACGTAAACAATCTTTCGTTCCCTATTGTGTGCATGTCTCCAGAGGGCACGGTGTATCAGATCGGGCTTTTCTGCATGACCAGCTGTTAGTGCAGATAATATTTAAACAAGATAACTTACAGGGTTTCCTTTGGCTCCTGGGAGTCCAGTGCGTCCAGACCTGCCAACGCCTCCCTAACAGAAACAAAAATAAAACTTCTTGACTTTTCTGACATTTTTTTGGATCTTTCTCCTTTCTCAAAGTCAGTTGTTTCCTACCCTTACATCATATTGTCCGGGAAAATAAAAATAAACTTTGTTTATTATTTTAATGGTGTTTATAGATAATAATAGATCAAAGCGCTTGACAATGCATTATTATTTCCACTGATCATTGGGCCCATGAAACATTCCCAATACCATCTCAGCTCCCTGAGGAGTATACAGCTTGATGCAGCCATTTTGGCGCAAAGCAGCTAAAATCTACAATAACCATCTCTGGCCTCACAGGTACCCAATTTGCTTCTGGGTGGTGAGAAGCAACGAGTCACAAAGTGCCTTTCCCAAGGGCACACGCAGCATAACTCCAGGCTGGACTCGAACCCACAACCTGCAGAAATACCCGCAGACCACAAATTCAAGGCCCGAGACCACGGGAATCAGAACACACAATTATGGTTTTGTAGAGCTTTCATTCTTGTTGAAGGGGCAAATTGATTTAGTGTGGATGGGATTCCAGTAGAATATTAAAAAGTCTTCAATGAAAATCTCACGTCTGGAGATACAAAGGCCCGAGCCAGGGAAAAGAATTCCCTCACATCCCTAAAAGAAACCAAACCTTTGAGAAATCAACACTGGGACACATCAAAAACAATAGACAAGAATTAGACAGACAGACAGACAGGCAAGCAGACTGACTGACATACCTGCTCTCCCCTCAGCCCAGGGGATCCGGGTGCTCCTGGGGGGCCAGGGTTTCCCTGCAACGGAAAACAGAGTTAAGGTAACAATTAAAGTTAACGAGCACAGAAATGTCATTGTGAATAAAACAAAATGGAGAGAAAAGACTGTTAGACTGGTGCTTAATGGCAGCCAGTCAGGAATAAAGCCACATCCAAATCAATTGGCTATGGATTGCAAATACACACGTGTCTATAGGAAGCCGCTGAAGCCAACTTCCATGGACGCATGTGTGGCTTCCAGCCACAGCCAATGAATTTGGGTGCCACCTATATGTTATGATGCTTACCCTTGCGCCTTGGTCGCCTGACCCTCCGCGCTTGCCTGTCGCTCCTCTGGCACCCTAGATAAAAAACACCCAGATCATTATTAAACATCATGAATATTCAGTAGATGATGCTATACATATTCACAATAAAAACCTGCCCCTCCGCGCTTGCCTGTTGCTCCTCTGGCATCCTATATAAAAAAAACACCCAGATCATTTTTATACATCATGAATATTCAGTATTGTAATGATTCAAAATGACGCTATACATATTCACAACGATAACCGATATCCTGCATATTAACAAAATGATATGCTTTTGTACTGCACAGACACAGCATTCGATTGGCCAGGTGGTAATGTCCCTTGCCCGTCACCTCTGGTGTCCCGGGTTCGAAGCCAAGCTGTTCTTCTAATACCGATCAAGCAATTATAACTTTTCTCTGGAATTTCTGATCTCCAGTACTGAATACTGTTTCAGGTTTTCACGGTTTGTTTCAGGGAAAACAAATCGTCATCGTTTTGACGAAGTGACGAATCCGTCCAAAACCGAGATTTCGAGCAATTTGAGTTTTTTGGCCATTCTTACATTCTCCTCTACATGATCCAAATTTCTCGACACAAAACTCCATCCTTCGTTAATTACGCTAATTACCGAAAGTAATTAATATGCAACAAACTCACTTTTTTCACTTTGACGAAGTGACAAATCTGTATTCATCACTTAGTCTCATTGATTTTACATGTGTGCTATATTTATGTACATGTAGCCTCTACAATTAAGCATTGTTTACAAAGTGACATATTGCGTTCTCAAATATACACATTTAACATACGCGCACTGTGTACAAACATATGCTACATTGTGTGTGACGAAGTAGAATTTCTGTTTTGACGAAGTAACAGATATCTTTAGTAATTAATGTCTAAATAGAACATGATTTTATGAAAACAGAGAATTTAATTTGCCTATTTAACTACTGGATTATCGCATCAGTTGAATATATTTCAATTTTGGGGGATAAATGTATGCATAAAAGCGATCTGAAAAAATCGAACAACTTCAAACACAATTTTCTCAAAACTTTTGGAGCTGTGAGCACAGATTCGTCACTTTGTCAATATGGTGACGAAATGATTAGACAAGGATTATGATGACTGAACTCACAGGAGCGCCAACAACACCAACACCTCCAATGCCGCCGCGGTCACCAGGGGCTCCCTGCAAAGGCAAAGAAACACACCAAAAGTTATTGTGTTTTAAGGAGAAAATGCAAACGATCTCAAGATCTTGATATTGTTATTACTGACAGATTTTAGACGGATTAAAGGCATACTATAGGATCATTTGCTTTTCATGCATTGTGTTTATTTCCACTAATACCACGCAAAAACCAAACAAAATGTTCAAACTCTTAACCTGTTGGAGGTTCAGCTCAGTGGATATTTCTCATCCAGAAAACAGCAAAAAACCATGAACAACCTTTTTGGTCACAAAACACTCTTTTATCGATTTCACTCTTTTTTTTTTCTTCAAAAAAATCAGTAAATTGGCTGATCGTTAAAAGTGACTCACATTTTGTTATTTCTTAAAATGACAGCAAGCCAGACAGAGTAACTTTACGGGGGTGTTTAGTACCAGTACGATCTTTTAATCCAAGTAAGCTTTCTGGTAATCATTCGGTGGGTTGCTTTTGGGATATTCTGTAAATGATCCCAAGTGCCTCTAACTCTGGGCCCCGGGGCGGATGCGGGGTGGTGGGGGGAGGGGGGAGCAACGGGGGCCATCACCCCCCCCCCCCCCAACATGAACCCAATCATTTTTTTTTTGACGTCGCAATAGAGGCAGGCACTACGTACACCACCATCTTTTCCTCAAAACAAGTGGTCAGAAATTCCCTCAGATCGCACCACAGAGCTTCTAGAATCCAACAACTTTTCAGGGTCCTTAAGCGGGCCCAAACCACACGCCATAACTTTTTGGGTGCAATTTTTGGGGGGGCCAACTTTTTTTTTTTGCCCCCCAAAAAAACTGTGTTCCGGATCCGACCATGCTGGCTCTTGCTTTACTGAAAAGGCAGCAGATAGGCATGTGCCTTAGCCAAGGGTTTCTTTAACAGGGAGAGACTACACAATTGTGAATATGCAGATGAAGAGTTGCCAGGTGTAGATCTGTGCCGTGGCAGGCCCACTCTTCCCAGTGCAGACTAGTAGGCCTTCACCCACACAGCACCACCTATGGATCCAACACGGAGTCCCAGGAGGGAAAGTCCCCGCAAAAAGCTGAATGATTAAACAAAAATGTTATGACAGTGACCTGAGCTTACCGGAAGGCCTGGGATTCCAAGGCGTCCAACATCACCACCGGCTCCCTTGTCACCCTACACAAAGAACAAAAAAAAACACAGTAAAATAAAAACACAGAACTAATGATCAGACAAGGGATCTAATCATCTTCAGCCTCGCTCCTGAAAAGTAGTTTGCTGGAGTATTTACAAGACTGGGGAACAGAGGGTATAGTTCTTGTTTGCATCTTAAGGCCGGTGCTGCAAATTTGACGTCACGAAGCATTCGGTGCGAAATACACCAGAGTTGAAATGTGTTCAAACTTTTTGCGGATTTGCAGAACGAAAAAACTTGCCCGGACGTTACAAATTTGCGTTCGCGTTAGCGCCGACTGTGAAACCCCGACTTAAGCAATCATTGCTTGACTTGTTCTGTAAGCCGTGATTTAAGGAGCAGTGCTTTGCTTTGTCTGCCCTTGTACTCGGGGTGATACAAGCATAATGCTCAGTAAACGGAAGATTTAGACTCACTGCTTCTCCGTCACGTCCATCACGTCCATCAGCTCCTGCATCGCCATCTGGACCCGAGGGTCCGGCCAAACCCATTGGGCCCCTCTCTCCACGATTACCCTGATAGGAAGACAAGTCCAGGTGAACGTCAGCTACATAAATACTTCTTTACTAAGGGAATAAATGTGTGCTCTGGAGGTTTTTATCACTCTGTTTAAGACCACTTAGAGTCTGGGTGCTGATAATTACCCGAGCCGGAGGCGAGGGTAATTATCAGCACCCAGACTCTAAGTGGTCTTAAACAGAGTGATAAATACCGACGGAGCACATATTTATTCCCATTCATAAATACCTTTTCGGTAAGAAAAAATCATATAATTCGTTCAAAACATCCCGATTTTGTTCAACAAATTCACTTAATGCTTTTTGAAACATCCCTCTTGCAAAATAATGGAGTGTTCAGCTGGCGAGTAAGATGTAAACAACCCTTTTATGGAGATTGACGCGCGCGTATCATGTTCTGCGCGATGTCGCGCAGAACGCACCTGGCGCGTTGCATTTTGAATTTAGAACTATAAAATTCTGACTCCCTGGTAGTGTTGCGCATGCCTACGTGAGGATTGTGAACGTTCAACCAATGAAACGATAAGAGGCACTGGATTTTTAGGAGTCCACATTTTATTGTGACACTGGAAAAGTGTTTAAGACCAGCTAGCCATGTCTTTATCATCCGTTTAAGACCGGCCACGTGACGGGCTCTCGACCAATAGGAATAGCTAAACTGTCTGAGGTATTTATGAATATAAATTTGTTACCACAATGGGACCAAACTCTTGATAGTTTTTTTTTTCGGTTTAATCTTCGTCATCATGGAAAGGTAGTTATATTTTGTTTTGAGGTGTATATTTGTTGCGAACCAAGAAGAACAAGCATACATTCTAACTTCTAAAATGCTCTTTGAACTGATTGGACAGTTTTTTTTTTTTTTTTAAGGCAACATCAATCCAAGATTATTTATGAAGTTGTGACTTGAGACTTACAGTCATTCCCGTTGCTCCTCCTTGTCCTGGGGGTCCTGCAACACCAGGAGCTCCTCGCTTACCCTGGGCTCCACGTGCTCCGGTTGCTCCTACGCCTCCCTGGGATTTATCACAATGGGAAAAAAGTGAGATACACTTGAGAAAAAAAGGGGGGAGGGGAAACTGGGCGGACTGATCTGTCAGTATTCATAGAGATCAGTAGTTAAAAGTTGTGAAAGCCTACAAACTGAAAGCATTTGCCTTACAAGTTGTAATTACTCTGATGGTAAGAGAGCTTAAGATGCCATGGAGAGGGAGCAACTTACATTGGGCCCTCCAGCTCCGGCAGCTCCTTGGGGTCCAGTGTCTCCACGTGCACCTTGAGCTCCTTGAGGTCCAGCGGGGCCCTCAGGTCCCATGTCTCCTGCGATACCCTGAAAACGAAAACAAAAATTGTAAAATAACAAAAAGCAAACCTATAACCGCAATCCAGAATTGTAAACATTTATTAAACTTTGCAACAATTTAAAGTACAGAGCAAATACAGCAGATGTGATTCTTTGTCATCGATAATCAATCGTAACTTTTTTTCTTCGGGTTTTATGACTTCTCCAGGTTATCAGAATTCTTGGAAAACAAGTTCAAATTCAGTAATCGAGTACAATGGAGGGAACAAAGTCAATGAAAACAAAGTGTTTCCTGAAAAGCAAAAAACAACAAAAACTTACAGAAGGGCCTCTTTGTCCAGTCGCTCCAGTGGCACCTGTCCTACCATCTTCACCCTGTCAGAATAACAGCAAACTTAAGAAGACCATATTGTAAGCTTTAAAAACAACTCCTATGTCTGAATTTTCAATTGTACCACTGGAAGTGAGGATTTATTTCCAAAACAAGAATCCATTTGAAAAAAATGGATAAAATTACACAGTTACGAATAAATATAGAAGACACACTCAGTTTAACAGCTGTAATGACCCTTAACACCAAACCCCTATTTTCAATGGGGGCCGCCCGATAGTCCGAAGGTCCGATAGTCCGAAGGTCCAATTGTCCGAAGGTTCTTTAGTCCGAAACACCATGTTCCTGGTACGGTTCGAACCCACGCACCTTCGTACATGAGTCAAACACCGTAATCACTGGACCATGGTGTTCTAGATAAGTTTTGCAAAAAGAAAGTGCTGGTATTATTAATATTTATGGATTGACGGCTACATTGTTTTAAAGACACCTGTACAAAATAACTTACAGCGGCTCCACGCGCACCAGTGAGTCCCATTAATCCTCTCCCTCCTTGAATACCCTAGAAGGTAGAAAGCAGAATTTAAAAAAAAATTCATCAATAACGTTAAAAACATGAAGTTCTTTTACATATTAGGGGGCTCAATTACACAAACCTCCCCCAACATTTTCCTCAATAAAACTTATTACACTGTTGTGTTGTTGTTTTTTCAAATCCGTAAAAACAATGCCTTAATTCCAAATTTAAATTTCTTCCAAACCAAGCTGTGTTTCTCGAAACTACTAAACTCAAGTCTCAGATTGTTTTTTTTTTTAAACCTAGGGATAGCTTGAAACTACTCATCGTTTCCTTTTCCTTTCCTTTTTCCTTAGGAGTTTTGAAGGCAGGCATTAAGGACAGGCGATGAGAACCAACAGTGTTGGTGGCTGGTTCAAGACACCTCTAAACTCAGAGGGGAAGAGGGTCAGTATATTTGAACTTCCCACTGTGAGATGTTTTAAAGGTAATATGCAAGAGTTTTAAAGGCAGGCATTCAGTACAGGCGATGAGAACCAACAGTGTTGGTGGCTGGTTCAAGACTCCTCTAAACTTTCAGGCAGACCTGGGGAGAGGGGATCAGAGGCCATGGACCCAAAAAATATTAGAAATTGTTAGAAAATCCGTGCTGTAGTTTTACTCATCCTCTTTTAAATTTCCAATCAATCTTTACAGGCAACCAACATCACCCTTTCCAAAAAAGACATAGTTCCAGGTTTTGGCCTCCCGAACAGTTTGTTATGGATCCCAAACTAATTTCACGATCATCAGGATTTGCTAAGACGATCCTGCAAGGCACTGTACAAGGAGGAAGAAAGAGAGGCAGGCAGAGAAAGAGGTGGGAGGACAACATCTCGGAGTGGAAAGGCCTGACGCTGAGTGACTCCCTGAGAAAGTCTGAGGATCGAGAGGGATGGAGGAAGCTGGTTGACAGGTCTTCAAGGGGTGCCCCCACGGTCAGAAGACTACAGGATAGGTAACAGGTAACAGGTGAACTAAGACTCGGATAAAAATCCATATTTTGCCGAAGGAAACTTACATTTGGTCCTGGTGGTCCAGGTCGGCCCTCATTACCGGCCGGCCCCTGTATAATAACAAAAACAAATGTTGAAAACACTTGAAATGAGACAATGACAAGATAGACCATTATCTAAAAGGGACATGGCTGTGACTGGCTACTTTTCAGTAGCTACGGTGTTATGTATTAAAATGCATTGTGCCAATGGGCAACAATTCAAACCATATCCACAAACCCCCTGGTACAACTTTACTATAGAATACAGGGCCAGCTTGGATAGTTGGTCTGTTTAGTCTCTATTCAAGCCGTCATTAATGCAACACGATCATAAGTGATAAAAATCAAAAACTTGATAGAAGACTATAAGATCAAAAACCCCAAAAATTACAAAACAATCAACGTTATTGGAACGTTATGCTGTACTTCTATCTGAACCTGAAAACAAAATCACAATTTTTAGCCCCAAACTCGTTTAGCTTTGATCATTGGCTTTTATTGTTAACGGACCAATTTCACTGTGCTGCAAGTCAGGCAAACAAATTTCTAAGCATGTTAAGTTCGGATTGGCAAAAATTAGTTAGCACCTAAAATATATGCATGATGAATACTGCTCATGAACAAGTTACCAAAAGCTGCTTAGCACAGGAAGTATTTTGCTTGGCAGAAACGGGCTACCAGCCAACATGCCATGTGTTTTCTTTTGCTTTTGACTGGTTCCCGGCTGATTTTCGCAAACACAAAAATATGCTAAGCGATGTTTTCTGCCAAGCAGCCCAATAGGCCTTATTCACGAGGTTGCCATTTTCAGTTGTGTTCCCTGAATCTGTTTCATGAACTGTAAACTGTTGAATGGAATGGTGCCAGACTATTTTTATGATTCGAGTGCATTCCAAGCTGCACTTTCAATTTTTTTGTGCGGCTTAAAACATTAGGATATGTTTAATCACAAATTTTAGATTATTCATCAGAGCAGACTGGTAGTAATTTGTAATTAACTTTAATTTAATTGCTTTCATTTCTACTCGAGATTGCCAAAAAATGAAGAGTTTACCTAGCTTTCGATTCAATATGGCCGACTTGCAAATAAAGTCTCTTTAAAAAAAGGCCAAGAAGCTTTAGGTTGAAGTGCCCGCTAATCCAAAAAAAAAAAAATTACAATATGAAATAACTCACAGGTGGTCCAGGCTTCCCTTCGTTGCCAAAGCGACCGTCTGATCCTGGCATACCCTGGAATACAAAAAAAATGACAAATCACTCAAAAATATAAAATAGATTACCTAAATAGCCCTCTTCAATTTAACTAAATCATGAGCCAAAAAACAGACTACTGAAATCAAAATACGGGAACATCTTATGCTCACCAAATGTCATTTGCTCTTTTTGGGACGACAGTTTGTAAAAATGTGGACATTAATAGGACAAAATGGAGTCAGTCCAAAAGTACTTTATCCGGAATTGACTCCAGAAACATTTTGTTTCCCTCATTTTTCTTCCAATCTCGTCACTTGATATTGTAAATCCTTCCCTTTACTTGAAGCATTTTAATACGGGTTGAAAAGGCGACATGGCAGCTGCAATCGGCCAAATAACAACGTGTCCCAGATGCTGCTTTCGGGCGCAATTCCAAAAAACACAACTTGGCAACTTTTGAATTGAAACTGAGATCATAGAAGTGTTTTCTCAAAATATACAGCATTCACAGAGCTAAATTCATCAGGTTAGTTGTTTATAAAAGCACCTGTTTTTAGATTTTGAGCACTTTTGTTGCTTTAAACGGGAACAAAAATGCACAAATGACAAATGATGTACTCAATCTTTAAGCTAATCAGGAATCTTACCATTTGTCCGGGGGCACCAGCATCTCCAGTTCGTCCTGGGTTGCCCTAAAATTCAAAATCACAACAATATTTTTGTATAAAATTATATCTGTCATCATCGTGTCTATCTTCTCCTTTTTGTAACCGCATTCTCTTGGTAAAGCCACCAGCCATATTGTTGAACGTTTTGAGGTACAATTTCATTCGTTTTACCCCTTCCCAGTGTTAAAAGGTAACGTTTGTTTTTTAATGAAATTAATCTCAAGTCTCAGTGATTTTCAAAGATTTCTTACCGGATCTCCTTTCTCTCCTGGGGCACCTGAGCTACCTTGGGCCCCAGCGTCACCCTTTCAAGACAAACCAAAAGAAAAAGGATTCTCGTCAGTACTGACAAATGAGTGGTTAGTAAAGTCTGTCACAAGGCAACAAAGCCCATCAGGCCGGCGTTTATCTCTGGTTTCAGTTGCATGAAATGACTGAGTGTACCTCTATTCCCCCTGGATGGGAGGCTAGTCCATTGCAGGTTACTCCCTAGCTAAAGGCATGGCAGTACCCATTAATACTCTTGGGTGGAGAGAGGCAAGTGGGGGTGAAGTGGCTTGCCCAAGGGTACAATAGTATGGCCAGCGGCTTGATTCGAACCCCCGACCCTCTGATCATGAGTCACAATCCCTAACCACTTGGCCACACTCCCCCACAAGAGTGACTACTCTATATTAATATATTATTATTTTAAATACAACTCAAAACTACATGTTGCACACCCGATATTAATAGGGTTTTAGTCAATTTTTATCAACAAATCAGCTGGAATTACAGGATATAAAAATACCCGTTAATTATGCTACAATATGCAAATATGGTTGAAACAATCAAACGCAAGGACGGAAACCTGCAAGCTTAAAAAAAAAGTTCACGGCGGTATTATTTTGACAAGAGCAAAACGGGGCGTGGGATTTATTTTCATTTTGACCTCAAGCCAGGCAGGTCGAAGCCATCACCCTCGGGCAGCACACTCATATTTCCAGCCTCGCTTGTTGCGAGCGGGTCGCTGACAGATATTTCCAGCCTCACTCCCTACGTGTTTACCTGTCATCTGTTCCAAATACCGCAAACATTTTGCATGTATACATGGCGCCCGGCGCGAACTGGTTAAGAAATTTCAAAATTTAAAAAATATGCCCCCAAAAAAGGGGAAACAGAACACTCACTCGCATTCCAATAGCTCCAGCAGGTCCACTAGGTCCACCAGGTCCAACACCACCCTGTCAACAACAACAACAAATTGAATGGAGCCTCAGGGTTAATTTTACATAATACATTTTATATGGTTTAAATATTAAGAGATAATAATCTTCAACCTTCCAAGTTAACTCTGTACAAACTTTAAAAAAAAATTAATAGTTGTTTCTGTACCTATCCTGTAACAGGCAATTATCTCGCGGTAGGATTTGGTTAATAAATAAATATCAAGTACTAAAATAATCAAAACTGACAGTCAAAACTGATTCCAGTGTTTTGAAAAGCTTTGTCGACTTTCATGAACTCGAATTGGTTTATAACTGGGAGCTTATACGCTGATCCATTCTTTAAGTCCCGCCCAAAAATGTTTTCAACCAATCACAGCTTGTTTGATTGTTCCCACAGAACAACAACGCCCATAGTGTCCCCACAAACATGGTTCCAACTCTCTATGTTTTTTGTACTGTTATTAAATGATTAAAAGTTTCAGTGTTAATAATCAGAACTTCACAAAGTTTTGTTGCAAAGATGAAGGCCGTCAGCAATCTCAGTCTCACGCCGTGGCATTCGCTGTTGGAGAACAAAATTACATGAACACACTTTTGGACATCTCAATTAAAGTCAGAACTCTAGGTTGGAATGACGTCACTGGTTTATACTCACACGGGCACCAGCTTGGCCACGGGGACCAGCCGCTCCAGCAGGACCGTCAGAACCCTGTTAAAAAAAATTTTTTTAAAAGAGGCATCAAAATTACTTCTTTAAAACATGAGACAAGGAATTGAGGAGCCGCATGACACTGTGTTCTACACTAATTGATTATGTGTGTCATAATAATAATAATAATAATAATCGGTATTTAAGAACGCTCGTTTTAGTACACTAAATCACAGCGCTTACAGTATTATTATCCCTGATCATTGGGCCAATTTAACATTCCAAATACCATCTCAGCTCCCTGGGGAGTATACAGCTCGATGCTGCCTGTTAGGCGCAAGCAAGCTAAATCAATCACATAACCATCTCTGCCCTCACAGGTACCCATTTACCCCTGGGTGGAGAGAAGCAATGAGTGACAAAGTGCCTTGCTCAAGGGCACACGCACCATGACCCCGCCAGGACTCGAACCCACAACCTGCAGCTTTACCCACAGACCATGAATCAGTGCCCTTAACCACGAGGCCACAGCACCCCACACCATCCATTTAGCATTAACGCTGGTTGGGGCATATCACAGTGCAGAGTTCCAAACGGCATTTGCCGTTGAAAAGTAACCTCTCTAACAGACAGGCCACTTTTTAAATTTAATTTGACATCCTAATTATCGCAATTTTCCTCACGATGCACTGTGAGCAAAATCAGCATCAGACCCGTCAACAACAGCTTTTCTGTGATTCACATTCCTGGTGAGCAGAGAGCAATTTCAAATTAGGTTTTTGCCCTTCACCGACTCAGTGTGTTTCCTCCCGAGTGTTACCTCCCGAGTGAAAGTTGGAAAAGTCACTCGGGTGGGACTCGAACCCACGACCTCCTGCTTTCTAGTGCAGATGTCTTACCACTCGACCCACCGAGCTAACGCGGTACCTGCTGCTATGTACGTTAGATTCAAACCGGCCAACCCATCCCGTTAGCTTGGTGGTCGAGTGGTAAGACATCTCCACTAGAAAGCAGGAGATCGTGGGTTCGAGTCCCATCCGAGTGATTTTTCCAACTTTCACTCGGGAGGCTACACACTGAGTATACAGTGTTTATACGTCGGTGAAGGGCAAAACCTAATTTGATTTATTTCACCCAGACGCAAAAATCCCATCTTGTAAAGAGCAATTTCAGCATTACGAAAGGCAGTGTAATTTACTGTGATTTGCTTGATTTTCCTGGTGTTTTTATCCCCCTAAACAATTAAAAGAAAAGCTTGTCAGAACCATGAAACTGTCTAGGCAAAACTGGGCCCATTTTTGTTTGCACTTACCGTAGCACCCTCCGAACCATCCACCCCGGGCTCACCGCGGATACCAACACCTCCCTACAAAATACAACAAAGAAGAAGTGAAGAATCGGTCATTCAATTCTAAAGCAATCATCCAATTTCCTGTGACATTAATGCCTACGAAACAGAAATTTGTTACAATCTATATAGATCCCCGCTGATGGCAGCATAACAACAAGAATAACAACCATAAAGTAATGAAATATACGAGAAAAGATTCATCACTAATAACAACTTTTAAAAATTCCATTGTTCTCAAAGGCACATGACAAAATCACTCCTTTCTTCACGCACATAGGACTTGATTTTGGGTTAAGTAAGATTGGAGGCTTTGCACGGTGGAAATACTATTGAATGAAAAGTTTGTGGAAACACCATGTGCAAATAATTTTTCAACTAAGAGAATGGTTCTGAAAAGAGCCAGAGGTACATTGTGTTATTTCGATGCAAGTCATGGCAAGTCAAATGGACACCATTAAACTCTCTATACAATTCATAACACGGCATTTTTCGCTGATTTTAACGGACAACATTCCACAATAATACGTCATGAAATGTTTATGCCAGCTCAGTTACTTGCGCCACAGTCTCGATAAAATTGTCCCAAGTCAAAGGTCCAAGTGCGGACACTGGTAAGATTTTACCCAGGCACTTTTTTCCATTGTCTTGGTAAAATCTAAATAAAAAACAAACATGGCTACATCATGAAGACTTGTTTTAATAGTTAAAGGGTGAACTCACAGTTGGACCACGAGCTCCATCAGCACCGCGAGCTCCGGCTAGTCCAGGGTAGCCTTGGGCGCCAAGCTCACCACCGGGTCCGGTGGCTCCGCGAGTCCCCTGTGTGCATGGACAAATATTACACCATTCCCTAACCACAGTGATTTGTAACGCACACTTGCAAACATAAATGCGGTTTAATCAACTGACAGTATAGTTGCCTTTTTGACACCCACTCCTGAATTTTACAATTGGATTGATGGTATTTGGATGACTGCTATCTATAAATAAATAAAGGTCCGACGAAGGGAAGTAATACTTTTCGAAACGCTACCAATAAATCAACACAGTGATATGCAATGTTCTCGTTAGGGTGTCCTCTTCTTTTTCTAATAAATAAAGGTATACAATGCAATTTTTCTGATTCTCGTCTTTACCAAACTATAATAATTACAGTTATTATTATTTTACAATTGCAGAAAAAAACTTTGGCAATAAAATGTATAGTCCATTTTTCAGTTTGCGGCTTATATTTTCTACGCAGAATTACCAAAGTCAAAAACGAGTTTGAACAAAGCAGTTTTAGGTTCACATCTAAGTTAATATTTTAACATCCCTGACATGATGGAATGTTGAGAAAACTGAGACCAGTGAGACTCTGAAATAGAATGCAAGAAACAAAAAACTTACTGAAGGGCCTCTAGCTCCAGCCGCACCACCAACTCCAGGGGCACCAGCTCCACCCTGTGGGGGAAGGGGAGGGGGACACAGGGGTCAAAGGTCAGAGGTTACATATGGCGTCTTTGAGTGGGGGATAATTCATCAGTGATTTGACCAAGTAGGCATTTACAATGGAATTGTTACTATGACGAACAGAAAGTGGTTTCTGGCTGCCAATGTTAGGTATAATAGTACGTGAAAGCGGGGAAGCCCAAGAGAATGGTCATTATAGGAATATTTTTGATACAGTGGTGTTGGTTATACAGGTTGTCCCACAAAAACAGTTGAATCGGGCATGTTTTCAGAAAAGTGGGGGTAGTATTCAAAATCGTGTCTAATGTATTGCTGAGTAGAATAATTGGTCTTCCAAACTTTTTTTTTTTTAGGATGTTTGGTTCAGCAATCACTTTTTTTATTTATCAAGTTTACAGATCAAAGCCGGTACAATATGTCACATGTTACTCTTGAACAAAGGAAATAAAACCCTTTGTGTGTTTCTGTTACTTTCTGGTATTCTAATGTGCTTCCCAAAAAATCACGCAATGTAGTGCCAACAACTGGTGAAATTCAGGGTTTTTGTGGAAGGGAGGAAAAAAGTATTGCAATACAAAAAGACAATATCAAATATAACAGACAGAGGAATACTCACGGCATCGCCCACACCTCCAGTTGCACCATCTGCGCCGGCATTTCCCTGATAAGCGGAGGGGGGAGGGGGTGAAACAAATACGAAAATATGACTTATTTCATGTTAAAAAAAATATGACAGTATCGAAAAGGATTCATTTAATTCAAAAACCTTGAATTCATTCAGACATTCCGTTTCATTATTATTTTGATGAAAAGTCAATATTTATAGTGATATTCAACACTGCATGGTGAATCAGATAAAGTGAAGGATAATCAAATCGATTTTAAAGTTGCAAATTCTGCGTTGTTTCGAGGACAAGACACTCAATGGCTAGACAGAATTGTGGGGGATTTTTTTTTTGGGGGGGGGAGGGGTGGAGGGAGAAGATCAATTTTGAATAAAAAGTTTCAGAGTTTTTTATTTTTATGGAGACCACGATTTCGAGCCAATCAGATCAAATACTTGAGGAGCCAGTATTTGCTGTTAACCGGATGGTCAAATAAAATGTTGGAGACTTACAGTAGCACCAGTGGCTCCTGGAGCACCATCAGCGCCGTTCTCACCGCGCTGACCTACGATACCTTGGAAGCCCATATCACCCTGGGGACCTGCATCTCCCTGTCATCGAGAAACAAAGACAAAAGTGGATTGTTTTCCTTTGCAGTAGTTTGCGAAGAATCTGTCTGCTAAAAAAAGAACATCCTTATTTTAAAAGTAGGGTAGAACATTTGTCATTTTTGCATTATGTTTGTTTGAAGCAACAAAAGTGCTCATTATTAGACTTGTGAGAACTTGTGAGGGCTTGTGATTTACTGGTGATGGACTTGTGCTGGACTTGCAAGGACTTGTGGGGACTTGTGATAGAACTGTTAGGACATGTGAGGACTTTGATGGGCTTGTGATGAACTTGTGAGGACTTGTGAGGACTTGTGATGTGCTTGTGATGGACTTGTGATAGACTTGTGATGGACTTGCGAGGACTTGAGATAGAACTGTTAGGACATGTGAGGACTTTGATGGGCTTGTGATGAACTTGTGAGGACTTGTGAGGACTTGTGATAGACTTGTGAGGACTTGTGAGGACTTGTGATGTACTTGTGATGTGCTTGTGATGGACTTGTGATGGACATGCGAGGACTTGTGGGGACTTGTGAGGACTTGTGAGGACTTGTGATGGAACTGTTAGGACTTGTAAGGACTTGTGATGGATTGGGAGAGCTTGTGATGGACTTGTGAGGGCTTGAGAGGACTTGTGATGGACTTGTTACGACCTGTGAAGACGTGTGGACTTGTGAGGACTTACAAGTGATGGACTTATGACCTGTGAGGACTTGTGGACTTGTGAGGACTTGTGATGGACTCCACTACAACACTGAAACCTTTGAAGATACAAGAGAGAACCATGAACTCACCTTTGCACCGCTCAGACCCATAGCACCCATTGTTCCAGTGGCACCTTGGGGTCCCTACAAATAAAAAATATCCATACAAGAACAAGAACACATTAACATCTCTTAATCTTGTTGACAGGGTTGTCCTTTTAACCTCATCGCTGACATACTCTGAATGTTTTTGATCATTATTTAAAATTGAACTGGCAGTACTAAAAATGTAAAAAAAAAGGGAAAACAGTAAAAACAGTAAAAACAAAAATAAGAAGCCGATGAACACTTGTGAGAACATTAAAGAACTACTATCTTAGCAAATAAATTTCCAACCTTGTAAACCCTCCTGTTGTCTGAACAGTCACAGACAGTCGGAAAAGATCAATCCTCTCCCCTGCTAGTCACTAACAGTCAGATCATATTTCAAGCAAGCACTGTGACTAGTCTAATTCAGTCAACAGACAAAAGCAGGCGAGTGCCATGCACAGCTGGCTGATCAATCTTCTACAGTTAGAGCATAAAGCTCTGTATCAAGTTACCTAAACAGTCACAGCAAGTCGATCCTGCTTTATGTAGGCTGGGAGCTCTTACCTGTTAAATAGAGTCACTTGATTGATTTAAATGAAAGGAGAACGTGGCACAGAATGTTTATGTTTGCATAGGAAGACTTCTAATATATGGTCTGTTTATAATTATTATTTGTTACTCACAGCATTTCCGATGTCACCATCCGAACCATCTTGTCCCCTCACACCCTATTTGGAAGGGAAAAAATGTAACAAATATTAAAATTCTATTAAAATTAACAAATGGTGAAATATGTGAGAATACAATTTTCATTCTGAATCCAAGAAAGATCTGTTATTATAGCTAAAATTTCAGACTTAAAGGGAAGATACAACATTTGCAAACATCAAAAAATGAAATGATCAAATTACCACGAAATACCTTACTGGATTGTTAGGGAATGAGAGTCTAAAGCATCCTGTAAAATTGTGGGTCCTGGTGTGCTGACATTTTCAAAAACAATTGTATTTTTGCAACGCTGGTCGGCCGACCATCGTTAGAGAAAACTGTTTTTTTTTCTCAAAAACTGCTCGTAATTTTTCATATTTAGTTATTTCGCGTTTTCTTCGCAATTGATTATACACACCTGTGAAGGGGTACAAGCCAGCTTGACTGATTCTCTGACCTTACAATTACCCAACGTATATAAATTGTTACGTTTCATCTTAAGTGGGGTCAGGGAACCAGACTACAAGAACATGATTGGTTTTCTTGGTTTTTTCCAGCATCTGCAAGCCCAAAACATGAAACAAGTCAGTTGTAACAACATTTGCTATACCACACTAATCCTCCAAATCCATTTATTTCTGAAAATTGCAGCAAAAGCAAATGATGTACATTCCCTTTTGCCCTGACTGTGTTTTGCACTACCCGACAAGCTTTTTTAAAGCACCGTTTACTCAGTGCAAGAGAGTTTGGGTCGATTCCCACCCGTGTAAAGCAAAAACCAAGTAAAAAGCCAAACTGGCTCAGAGTCTGTGGTCACCAAATGCAGCAGGATGCAACTGTGGCATTGTTCAATGGGACTAGCTCTCATCGTCCCAGAAGGGTGCAGACCAGTAAATCGGTCCGAAATTGCCTACGCCGGCCTAATCACGATTTGCATGCCCTCAAAATCTTCAGTATTTGAGCATGCTGTGGGCCATGAACTTGAGGGTTTGTAAAAAATATGGGTGGAAGCCGTGCACAGGACTGGGAGCTTGCAGTTCTGTGTAATTTGGATGTAATTTGGACCCTAAAAGCGCTCTATTTTGCAATGGAGTGTAGGCATCGTTGCAAAATAGAGCGCTTTTAGGGTCCAAATTACATCCAAATTACACAGAACTGCAAGCTCCCAGTCCTGCGATGGGCTTCAGGACTATTTTCAGGGGTGATCATCTTCAGATGTAAATTTCTCCTAAAAATCATCAGTTGACCCCCCGAAAATTGAAAAAGAAAATGAAAGATGATGAAATAAGCTTAATTTGATATGTGTGTTTCAAACACCTTGGAGAGTTGTGAGTATTTTTCCCGAATTTCTGAAGTGGGAGCATTTACCATTGGGGTCTATGGGAGTTTATGTACTGGTCTGCTACCAGAATTGGCTGTTTAAGCACTGGTGTTGATGACTGAATGCATCACAACAGCACCAGACTTTTCCACCGGATGCACTGTGTTGCGTACACGTCTGGCAGGGTTAGGGAACTGTTTAAGATGACTCTTTACGCATGAGATAAACAAACACGTCAAAACTCACAACAGATCCACGCTCCCCGCGCTCTCCCCTTTCACCAGATGGACCAGCATTACCCTGCAGATGAAAAGAACATTTTTTCTTGAGCCAATAAAGGAATAACGCAGGAAATTTCTATAAAATGTAGCTTTTTTCCCTCTCAAATTGACAAACGTTTTGAGTGTTTCTTGATGCTGTATCAGCAACTACGTACCAAATAATGAGCAACATGAGACGGACAAACGCATGGGCCAGAACCGCAGAAAGTAAAGTGTTGATGTTGTGTTTTAGGCAATTTAGGACAGTAGGGAGGTTTCGTAAGCGATCGGATACAGTTAGCGCACTAGTCATGTCATTACGTCACCATTTTTACAAAGAGCCACATATGTCAAAAATTACCAATTTTTCGATTTCAATTTTTTTTTCTCAATATTTTGCATTAAAACAATAATCATTTGCACATGTTTCTGTAAGCAAACCATCATCAATTTCAAAGTTACATTAATGTTGCAAGGGGCATAAATCTCGATAAATGCATTTTGCGTTTTCATGAAGAGCCACATACATTTTGGCCCCTTGAACGCGTACAAAACCCATTGCATGGAAATACGTAAAAGTAGGTCAACTGAGAGTTCCGTTTCACGAAGAGCCACATATCTTTGTTACACTTTCAGCTATGTGCGCGTACCTATGTGCACTTATGGAAATACACGTTTAACAGAAAGGGCCAATATGTCGGAAACCTGAAATTTCGTTTTCACGAAATAACTGCTGTATTAAGTCTAATTACTGGGTTCAAGTGAAAATTCAGCTCTCATAGAATCTCAGTCGATCAGTCAGTCATTTGGGTTCAACAAAACTCCTTACCCTTGCTCCTGGGGCTCCAGCATTTCCTGCTTGTCCCATTGCACCAGAATCACCCAGCTCACCAGTATCTCCTGTTGCCCCCTTCCTGCCACGGGAACCCTAGAACATTAAACAGGTCAAAAAGCTCAGGAAGATGTTCATACAAGGCCCGTTCCAGACGCCGTGCTACTGCTGCGCCAAACTCAATTGAAGTGAGTGCAGCAATAGCTCGTCTACAGCACGTCAGTTGCTGTAAACACCAAACTAAGTTAAAACAGTTCAATGACATTAGTTCAAAATTTCACCCCCTGTGATGTGGCTGAGAGAGGGTATTGTGAGCATGCGCATTCCTAAAATGTTTGCCCCAACTTCGAATTGAATTGAGTTCGGCACGGCAATGGCACGGCGTGGTGTATTGGGGGGGGGGGGGGTGCCATAGTATCAACTAGGGAGGCCCACTACCATAAAAAATACAAAATACATAGGCATGGCTTTTGCCGTTGGCGACGGGCCTGGGGCAACAGCCCTGTCGAACCAAAGGATGGTGCCATGCCAAATTCAAATCACCGAGCTGAATGGTTCTAAACGCTGTGCTATAATCGCCGTGCAAAATTAACAAAGACAAATTAGTTGAGTTCGGCATGGCAGTAGCACGGCGTCTAGCACATGTGCCTAACCCGTCACCCCCGAGAAATGTATTCCATCATTTTGAGATTTTGTGGAACAGTTGTCATTAGAAAACTTCAAATAACGATCCCTTCTCCATGAAACTATTTCAAAACAAACAAATTCTTTTCGGAGAAAAGGGGTTAGTTACATAAAGAGCATTCACAATTATTTGAAAGGGTACGATACATTATAGCTGTAAACTGCAGGTCACCACATGTACACACATTGACTGACTATAGAAATATACATTATCAAGATGTTTGATGTGTATTAATTCAGTTTTTTTCTCCATATTTTTTTGTTTAAGGGTGGGTGGATTTTTAATTGAAAAAATTTATATGAGGATTTTAAGCCACATCTTATTAACTTGGCTATGGCTTACAATGACACACCTGTCAATGGCAGTTGCTGAAGCCACATCCCATAGACATGCATGTTAACACTGACACCCAATGCCAAATAATTTGGGATGTGGCCATGGAATGCAGATGGACATAATTTCATGGCACCATTAATGACACTCACCCTCCAGCCTTTGTGACCTTGAGACCCCGGAGCTCCTGGCATCCCTGCAGATCCCTGCAATGAAGCGTCAAGATGAGGAACAGTTTTATTTTTATAAATTGGAATTAAGGCCAAAAAAAAAATAAGTCTGTCTCTGGTCAGCGCGCGCGTCGATTTTAATCATGCGCGTCGATCTTTTTTTTTTCCAAATGTTCCGTGGTAGCACCAACAGCGCCCTCTATTTCAGCACCTCCTCAATTTTTTTTTACCAAAGAGCACCAAGGAATGGGAAATTGCACCAAGGCAAATGATCGAAAGCACCAAGGCAAATTATGGAGGACATCAATGTATATGAGGACACCAAAAAAAAGCAAAATAGTACCCCACTTTGTCTGTACAATCCAAGCTTGGTGAAAGAAAAAAAAAGCAAAAAAAAAAAAAAAAAAGCCGCGTGGCCGTGTCAATTCTGGAACTTTGGTCTGACCAGAGACTGAATATTTTTTTTGGGGGGCCTAACGTCGGGGCGATATAAATTTCATTTTATATAATTTAATTCTCCCCGACAAAAAAGTCCATCTTAAACAACACGTAGTTGCAGTACCAGCTGCTACATCAGACTCGAACCAGCCAACCGACCCATGCAGACTCGAGTCGTAAGACGTCTGCACTAGTAAGCAGGAGTCATGGGTTCGAGTCCCACCCAAGTGAGCTTGTGAATTTTTTTTATCACAAGCCTACGGACAACAATGAGTACATAGTGTTTATAAATTACAACGGCGAAGGGTAATACCTAAGATATAAGTTTTGTTTTTACTCAAAAAGCTTCCAACCACTATGGAGTCCGTGCACAAGTACATACCCCCTCAACGGTTACGACAAGAATTAAGGTCGGTTCATACTTGGCGCAAAAGCGAATGCAAACACAAATTTGTGACGTCAGGGCAAGTTTTTGCGCTGCGAATTAAAAAAAAAAGTTGAACCCATTCCAAATCCGGCGAATTTCGCAGTGAATGCTTCAAGATGTCAAATTCGCATTCCATTTGCATGAATTATGAACCAGCCTTAAGCGAAATCTTCAACACACTGATTTTGAGCACATAATTATTTGTCTCCGAGTTTTCAAAGCCTGTTTTCAGTACAGCAGGTCAGCTGTGACAAAAACGACACCTTTGGGCATTTTACAGATATCCAAGAAACCAGTCTTTAATGTTGCACCTGTTGGCAAGTAATATTAAAAACCAAATAAGACATTTCTTACCTTTTTGTGAAATAAAAAATGCTAAAGACCTTTTTTTCATTTGAAAACAATGAACGCCATTTTTTTTTATATAAGAGGCATAAATTTAAGCCGTGGTTGGCAACGAAAATTGAATATTAACACCCTTATTATGTAAGAAACAGCTTTAGTATTTTCTTTGAGAGCGATTGAAGGTTATTTTGTATTTTCAACAATCCAATGATATGTATGCCAACCTGTGCTTGGCACAAAGTGAAAACCACAGGTTGCCAAAGAAAGGTCTATCTTGAGCTTACCGTTGCTCCAGTTGAACCGGCAGCACCTACGGATCCACGATTGCCGTTGTTTCCCTAAAAAAAAAAACAATTTAAAAAAATTAAAATTGAACATGAAATTAGCCACTTCTTAGTCGCTGATGTACCAACTGTGACCCGTGAATACATCTCTGTATAGTTGGGGTTTGTCGGTTTGAGGAGGAATAAGTGGAGACTTCTGTTCTCATGAAAAAATACTGACAGATTAAATGCAAGAGTTAGCTGAAATGTGGAGTGTCATGGCCTAGCGGTTAAGAACACCGGACTCATGTTCTGGTGTTTCAGAGGCAACAGTGACATGGGTTCGAGCCCGCCGGCGGACACTTGTGCTCTTAAGCAAGGCACTTAACCATTATTGCCTCGTCCTTCGGATGGGACGTTAAGCCGTAGGTCCCGTGTGTTGTATAAATATACGTAAAAGAACCCAGTAAACACTTATCGCTAAGAGAAGGGGTTTGCCCCGGTGTTTCTGGCCTCCTGTATAAACTCCCACGTGGAGTATTTAGGAGAAGAACCAACCAAGAACCAACCAAGAAAAAAATACAGTTTCAACTGATGAAAGAGGGTTCCCCCCCCCCTCTTTTTTTCTCATGAAAGCTTCCAATCATTGAAAAAAGGCCACTTGTGTAAGGGTTACAAAATGAGGGGGACAAAATGCTCAAGAAGAAAAAAAAATTGACAGAGTAGGAAGAAATGGGCTACTCACATCTCTGCCGTCATCGCCATCAGGCCCACGTGATCCAGCTGGGCCCACGGGTCCCTGGAAATGCAAACGGGATACAAAGCATTAATAGCACTTCATGAACAAGCTTTGCTTTCTTTCATCCTCCAGATGTGGACAAATAATAATAATAATAATGTGGGGAAATAGATTATGAACATACATGTAGTACTGAGATCTAAACTGCTGCTTTAAGGCGAATTGTTTACAATGCACACATCACCTCGGGTGCAGTAGTCGCCATGGGCGTCGCCAGGAATTTTTCTAGAGGGGGGCAAAATTTTTTTTTGCCAAAAAAGGCTTGTATTTCTCAACACATTCTCGATTTATCAGTTTTAGAGGGGGGCAGGGACATTCCCCCCCCCCCCCCCAACTCATTACATTTACACCACTTTGTCTTCGCCCCTATTTTTCTTTTTCTTTTTTTTCTTCCTTTTTTTTTTTTTTTTTTTTTTTGCTTTTCCAGGGGGGGGGGGGGGGCAAGTGCCCCCTCTTGCCCCCCCTCGCGACGCCCATGGTAGTCGCCCTCCGCTAAACAAAAACTAGTACTGGATCGTCCCATGTTTGTAACCCTTATTTGATGTATAATTCATCTTTTTGGTGAGTACCCTATGTGAAGTGAGTATAAGACAACAATTTTGTAATAAGACTTAGTTGAAATCAAGGGATAATGCAGATTTAGTCACAATGTGTCTACATGCCTTTAAGATTGAATTCCGATATTACTTACCGCGCGCCCAGTGTTTCCTGCAGGTCCTAAAACACCTCGCATTCCCTGGGCTCCCTAGAAGGGTGAAAATTTTACAATAAATATAAAGACTTCAAGATATTTTGAACAGATGGGTTTTTTTGCAACTACAGCTAAAAAATATGCAAGGTTTGCGGTAACACCGTGTGAAGTTTATCTCTCTTGAATCGTGTGGTTCTGAGACGAACCAGTTGTTACACCTAAAAAGGGAAGCAATTTTCTGAGAACTGAGAACCAGAAGAACGAGAAGGCATTTCAATTTATAACGATTGTTCAATTCATGAACTGAAAATTTTTTTTTTTTTAAACTATCACTAACAATTTTTTTAACGGTTTTTCACTGTAATAACCCTTGAAATTTACCATTTTTAAAAACTAATTTATTATAAAAAGGCAACAAAGGCAAATTTTGGACCAAAATGAACGATCACTGCCAGAAACTGTTAACAACCATTTAATTAAAGTTTTTTTTTTATTTAAACCAGCCTTTCAAACCATTTTTCATATCTTTGAGCACTTTGTCTTTTTTACACCACCAAGTAAACTCTGTATGTTAGCAAGTTTTTGAGGTCGAATACTTACGCGGTCACCAGCCTTTCCGGGAAGACCAGGTGGTCCTGGGGGTCCCTAGTATTGAAAAAAAAAGAAAAAAAGAACATGAATACCAGCAAGACCAATAAGGTAAATATACTGGACAAAATGGGGTCAAAAGAATGACAGATGAGCAATCTTACTAAACAAAGCAGTTTGTCTGGAAACTTCAACTGTATTATCTTTTTCTTTTTGGGGGGGGGGGGGAGGGCACGATGTGTACTTTGCCCTTATAAGTGGAAAATCTAACCAAATTTTGACATACTGACTATAAACACAAACTTTCTGGGAAAAATTGGCAATTGTACGGTGTACAATAATGAATGTTTATGAGCACAATGGTAAGACTAATTTCATGAGGTGACAGATAGATTGTTCCATTCCACGTGGCAAAGCCAAGTTTGCCGAGTGGAATGGAACATTCCATCTGTCACCCAATGAATTCTTCTTTCCATTGCAAAAATGTAAAACATTTGTTATTTGTTGTATACAACGCCTGAATAAATCTGCGTCATCTGATTGGTTATAGTGTGACCGTGCAATGGAAATTCTATTGGTTATAGTGTGACCGTGCAATGGAAATTCTATGAACCATAGAATGGAACTGAAACTTTTTGCGTTGCGGCCACGCCACTGTGGGTTGCGATGAATAATTCAATGACATGTGATCAACGACCCACCAATCAGACGATGGGGATTTATTCCGGCGTTAAATAACAGACAATAAGCCATTTGCAAGTGACCAATGATCTTTGGAATTTAAATTTGAAAAACGTCTGGCACACTGACTTGCTCAGAATGCTTGGCACATTTTAACTTTGAATTCTCCAGACCAAAGACACTGTTGCTAATCACATGATTCGGGGCAAGCTCTTGCATAGTTACGTAAGAGACGTTCAGCGCCAATACATTGTTCACAATGGGTGAGAATGGCACAAAGACACCATACCATGCCTGAGCTGGGGGTTGCTAGCATAAGGCTTGCCCCGAATCACGTGATACAGTAACAGTCTCTTTGGTCGAGAGAATGCAAAATTAAAACGTGCAAAGCATTGGATTCAGTCAGCGTTCCAGAATTTTATTTAAATTTAAACTCGCAAATGGCTTATTTTGCACACACTGGTGAACCTTACGCATATAAATACATTTTTAATACCTCCACTGACTACAAATGGCAAGTAAATTTTGCAGCGTTACCTGTACCACTTGCTGAGGTCCATACCCGGCACCGTAGGAGGGGATGCTCTTTGACCCATAACCTTGCTGGTAAGTGGGAGCAATGGCCTGTGAAGAAAAGGATAAGATTAAGAGATCTCTGAGGAATGATGTCGATTCTGAATGAGGAGAATAAGTTTCCAGAGCTGAACTCTTTTAGGTTGGATTCATTGGAATTTTATAAAAAAAATTTAGTGAGTGAATTTGGGTTCCCATGGGGATTTCAGAGTCTAAACTTCATCACTACGCATTAATAATTAGAAGTATTTTTTTTTTCAAGTATTATTAATGAAAGATAAAAGAAAAAAAAAGTTTTCTTTTGTAGGAACTCTTTGACTTCATTACCAAAATCTTGAAGGAGGGTTCCGATTGAAAATTGGGCATTGCTAAATCTGTGATATGATATATATCACTACAACCCCAAGGGTTAAAAAAAATATGCAGAATCGCGTTGAATTGAACATGGTTAGGATTAGTGACCTGATTAGTCAGTGCCCAGAAGCACTTCAGTATTTTCACCAGATCCATCAACAGACACGAAATTTTAGGCATAGTTTCTCATTACAAAACGGAAAAGAAAACCCCAACGACCTACCTCACCAGGTCGTCCTGCGGGGCCAGGTGGGCCTGGCGGACCGGGGTATCCGTACTCTCCAGGGTCTCCGCTAGGTCCCTGTGAGTCCACACAAGTTAACATGAGAATTGGGGATAATTAAGGAGGCGTCTGAATTACTTGGCTACGGCTTGGTGATAACGCATGCGGCTATAGAAGCGGCTGAAACCACTCCCCATAGACTCATGTGGAATAGCCAGCCGTAGCCATGTAATTTGGACGTAGCCTTAAATTGATTCGCAGTACAGTGTGTCATCAAACGTTTGTCTTAAAGAGGCAACTTTTCAACTTCATGTCAGCTTCCTTCATACATTTTCTGGCCTCCTGTATAAACTAAATTTTCTGGCCTCCTGTGTAAACTCCCACGTGGGGTATTTAGGAGAATAACCAACCAAGAACCAAGAACATTATTGTATTGTTGATCATCTGTCCTTCACTTTTCAATCTGCAGTTCATACAACAAACACTCACATATAAATCGTCGGGTCGCACCACGAATAGACGTATCGTGTGCACAAAGTCCATAGACAATACGTTACTTTGTGTATTGCACCTGACGAAATGTAAAGCCTCGTGAAAAAATGTATTCACAGAAATTATTCAATCTTAAATTGTGCGTGTACTCTCACCAACTGAAATATGGCCTAAATATCAATTGCTTTCCAATATATCCTCTCCAAAAGCTGGGTTTCTTTTTGTAATTAGGAAGCGCTCAAATTTCACCAAGATCGTAACACTGTCATATTGTGTTTACCTGAAACAAATGAAGCAATCCAAAGAACTGAGCGTAACTTTCAAAACCGCTTATAAAATTAAACACGACTTCTGTCAAATGTAAATTACACAATGCTACACCTTCGCAAAAAAAAATGTTCAAATCTGAAAAAGCATGTTGAACGCCGTTGCCCAAGTCGTTGTAGTTGCATGGTAAACAAGTACGGGCAATAAGTAAATTATTCTAAGCACTTTTGCCATAGGGGGAGTGTGTGGCCTAGTGGTTAGGATTCGTGACTCGTGATCAGAGGGTCCGGGGTTCGAATCCAGCCGCTGGCCATATATTGTGTCCTTGGGCAAGGCACATCACCCCCACTTGCCCCTCTCCACCCAGGAGTATAAATGGGTACCAGCATTAGCTGGGAAGTAATCCTGCGATGAACTGGCATCCCATTCAGGGGGAGTAGAAATATTCTCAGTCGTTTCATGCCAAGGAAACCGGAGATAAACACCGGCCTGATGAGCCACATTGGCTCGGGACAGACTTTACTTTCTTTCTTTTTTTACTTTTGCCTTAATGACTGAATAACCACTCAAAAGGGTTGGGAGTGGGGGAAATGGAAAATCCAACCAGTGTTTTAGGCACTGATGGGAAGAAAATAAAGAAAAACTCGTGATCAGAGGGTCCGGGGTTCGAATCCAGCCGCTGGCCATATATTGTGTCCTTGGGCAAGGCACATCACCCCCACTTGCCCCTCTCCACCCAGGAGTATAAATGGGTACCAGCATTAGCTGGGGAGTAATCCTGCGATGAACTGGCATCCCATTCAGGGGGAGTAGAAATATTCTCAGTCGTTTCATGCCAAGGAAACCGGAGATAAACACCGGCCTGATGAGCCACATTGGCTCGGGACAGACTTTACTTTCTTTCTTTTTTTACTTTTGCCTTAATGACTGAATAACCACTCAAAAGGGTTGGGAGTGGGGGAAATGGAAAATCCAACCAGTGTTTTAGGCACTGATGGGAAGAAAATAAAGAAAAAACAATTGCTGATTTAGCCTGCTTTTCAGCCTATATGTCTTAGCCACATACCTTGCGTCCCTGTGGTCCCATTTGGCCTGGATATCCACCTGGGCCTTTGTATCCCTGGAAGGAGAAATGACAATTTAAGTGAAGGGAATAATAAAAAAAAAATTGGATATAATAAGAAGTAACTTGCTAAAACCAGAGTTTAATAAGGAAATAAATATGTGCTTGGTTGGTTTTAAACAAGTCCATTTGGGGAATGGAGGCTGATAATGGGTGACCAGGACCCCAAACTGGTCTCAAACAGACGTGTATAATATCGGCCAAGGACATATTTATTCCCATTCATAAATACCTTTTTGGTCAAAAGCCAAAACCAGTGAAAAAAATAATAAATCTCCGGCGATCTTGTTCAACAGTTTTACTTCATGTTTTTCAAAAAACACCTCTTCTAGATATATATGTTATGGTATGTGCCTCTTGCGAGTAGTCGTAAACAACTCCTTATATGGAGATTGGAGCGTGGCGCAGAATGCAGTGGTGCCAGTGTAGTGTGAATTTAGGACTGTCGTAATACGGACTCCTTGGTAGTTTTGTGAAGACTGTTTTGTTAAGCGAAGACTGTGAACGTTCAACCAAAACAAAGGTAAAAGGGACCAGACTTCATAGGAGTCCAAATTTCATGAGACACAAAAGTGTTTAAAACAGCCAGCCGGTGTTTTATCAAGCGTTTTAAGACTGGCCACGTGACAGGCTAACGACCAATAGGAATGGGTAAACTGTCTTAGGTATATATGAATAGTGAAATTCTTCCAACTCACAGGTGGTCCAGAGACGCCCGGCAATCCTGGGGGTCCTTGCATATATTCCCTCTGCAAAATATATCACAAGAAAAAAGCATCCGATTGTGTCCCTCGTTTCAACTCTTTCAAGTAGGAAATGATAATTGTTTTAAAGGTACATTAGGATCATTGGCTGTCTGTGCAATTTAAATCGTTTGAAGCAACAAGTTTTCTCAAAATCTTAAGAAGGGTGCATATTAATCAACTAGTTTGTTAAAGTTTCAGCTCAGGGGAACTATATATTTTGAGGAAACAGAGACAACGTCTGCGCAATTTTTGGGGTCTGCTAAAAAAAATGTGCCCGCCGGCACACTTTTTTAAAACCACCATGTACAATGAGTGTTTCCCTTCGAATTACAACATTTCATACGGAATAATTTTACAGGGTATTAGGCACCAGTTTCTTCTTCACTTTGAGCAGGGATTTTCATGTGAAATCATCACAAGTATGTTTCAAGATTACTGAAGATGTTTCTAATAAATAAGACAGGATTAAAGCAGGGTTCTATGACATCCAAGCTGATATACTGGCTATTCAAGAACAACAGATGTATGTGCCAAAGTATGCGGAAACTGAAAGTTAATACTAAAACTTACAGGCAGCATAGCTGGTTCTCCAGGATATCCTTTGTCTCCTGGTGGACCTGGGACCAACTAAGATAACGGGGGGAAAAAAAGAATGACATTTCATGAATAGGGTTCATTCACGAGTCTGCCACATTCAATTGAAAGTAAGGTAAAATCTTCATTTTTGGATCTTGCGAATGAAAGAAATGAAAGTAATAACAAACTAATACCAGTCTGCTCTGATGAATAATTAAAAATATTGTGATTAATAATACACTGATGTTTTAAGCAACATGTAACCCTGAAAGGGCCGGGAGGGGGGCAGAATCCGTCACCCCCTTAACTTTTTCCACGATCCCCTAAGCAAAGGAAAAAAGGTTTCCTGACTTTTTAGCCTCGAGTCTTGCGCATCTTTTGATACCAAAAACATAAACTTCTGACCATGGGTTACCGCGCAGCGAAAAATGTTTTGATGCTGCGTGCCGTGATTTACTGAATTATGAAGTGTACACAAAGCAGAATTACCATTGGTGCATATGAATAATCCCCCCCCCCTCCACCCCCCCCCCCCAATCAATCGCAAATCCTCACAAAGTCAACACACAAGTGCATCATGAGTCATCCAGTCACAAGTCAAGGCGCAAGCTTTGAATGGACAATCAGCATTTTCAAAACGACCGCCTTTGGCTTTGTCTGAAGGACGTATTTTGTGCCCCCAACTTCTGGAACTCCAGCTACATTTGGTGGCCCTTATGCTTCAGGAACATGCAATTTGTTGATGCGAAGCCAAAAGTTGGAAGCCTTTGGTTTAGTTTGCCTCTCAGTGATTCAGAAGTGGGAGTCAAAGCCGAAGCCGAAGACGAAGCAAAGGTTTCGGAAAAAAAAAAAACCTATGACAGAGTTGCAGTAAAACAAAAACCAGCAGTGTGCCAAGTAATACCAAAAATTCACAGCTTCGCTAATTGAATTTTTGTCTAATTTACCTCGGGGGCTGTCTTGGGCAAATTTGATGAAAACCATCCAGGTCATGTGGCGACATTGGAAGAAAATAAATGAAATAAATGAGAAAGCAACATATTTTGTGTTCTGATTAAATTTAATAGCCAATGCTATCAAAGGTGATTGGTATGTCTTGAACCCACAACCGCCTGCTAGCTGGTGCAGACATCTGGTATAGTAGTGAGCACAACATTTGAAAAACTAACAAATGATACACATCAGGGGTGTGAGTGACCACTGATAAAAATAGCTGAAAACAGCTGAAAAAGGTGTAAAAAAAGCTGAACTTTGGAAATCTCCTATACTTTTGTACACAGCAAGTGAGGTAAAAAAGCTGAAATCCAAAACAAAAAAAGCTGAAATCAGCTTTAAAGCTGAGGTTTCACACCCCTGACACATTATATCTGCCCAATGCAAAATTCTAGTGGATATTTTTAATTTACTGAATCCAATGAGAAATTGAAAGACGTACATTTCCTGCACACCACCTTTTTGCATTTCTGCAAAGAGCCTTCGCGTGCTCCACTCAGACTGTAGTCGATGGAAGGATTAACCCCACGCTCTAGCCTCACGCAGACGTACCGTCCACCCTCGTCACAGTTCAGGTCATCTTTGTTGACGCGGGCGGCCAGGTTGTTGAAGTCCAATCTTGTGCCTGACCTCAGGTAACTACTGGCCATTGAGGGGGTCAGGGTCTGGGTGTCTATCGTCCGAACGTTTCCGGTGCCGTCCGCTTTGTTGGCCAGGAAGGTTGGCATTCGCCAGAGGTTTCGTCCCGTGGCTTCACCGCTGTTGGGGTTGGAGAAGATGGATACGTCGAACTCCAGTGTGTCTGTTAAGTCGTCAACGACAAAGTCGCCTCTCAGGTCGGTGCTGTCAATCACAATGCCTGCAGCAGTTAAGAAGGAAACGTTTTTTTTTCATTGTTTGTTATTCACACCTTGCTTTACAACTGAACTGCAAATAAGTATTCTCAGTTTAAACCTTGTGCGTGTAACTGAAAATATTAGGCTATGCAGGAGTTTGTAAGTGCAACTCTTTGAATACATTTAACTTGGGGTTGTTTTTTTAAATGATATTTGAATTTTTGGATGGAGTATTTTTAACCTGCAAAGTGTTTGCGAATCTGATTATAAAGCTGTTTTCTTAGTAATGTACCACTCACATAACATTTACATTGCGGACTTGATTCAATCACCACAGTTATCGCCCTTGTTTAAGTTCTGTTATTGTCGTTTAAGTTCGTTTGGTTTAAGTTTTGTTAGTGTTGTTTTTTTTAACTTGTATAGATTCCTGAAGAAGAGCAGTTTTACTGTCTCAAAACGTCGATTAAATCCACTCCAGCCAGCAATGCATTGGTTCTGTGTCACCCCCTCTTTTTTACATTTACATTTTATATGTTTTTGATGGAGTTTGGATCCGTTTTAATAGCAAAATGTTTAAACACTCTTCCCCTAAAGTTCACTGGCAGTAAGAACTTCATTCCAAAATCAACTGCACTACAAAGCATAACAAGTCATACCGTCACATTTTTGGCGGAAGCACTTTTTCAGGACGGAGCTGTCGGGGACGGGACTCAGCTCAAAGTTGGGATCGGGCCTACTGCCCTTCCGCAGCTCAGCGCACAGATAGCGCACCTCGTTGCAAGACAAGCCCTGCATGTTGAAGTTGGTGTCCACCATTCCAAAGTCGATGTCTTCCCCGGGGTAGGCATCCTTGCTCCTCTGGTAGTTGTTGAGGACCTCACGCTGCTCGTTGAAGCGGCGGCCCACGCCATTCTCGGAGCTGCTGCCGTAGAGGGAGAGCTCCCACAGATTATCGCCTTCCACACCGCCGCTGTCCGGAGTGGTGTCCGCTGTCATGTCAAACATGATCCGATTGTTGGGGTCGTTCTCCTTCAAGACGGAGTAATCATTGCCAACAACTCTCAGGTCCTCAATCTTCACACCTTAAAGAGTGTACAACAGTTTCAAGTATGAAAATTAAGTCGCTAATATTTTAAAATCTAAAATGTCAATGTGAATTCGAGCGATTCACAATGCAGTGCGCCACCAAGAGTTTGCCATGGAGAGTCAGTGTTTCAAATTTAAGTTGACAAAACAAGGCCCATTTGAATGAGTGTCATTAAACAACTGTAGCTAATTGGTTATGAATTTTGGTATAGCGTTCAGCCGCCTTACTAAAAAAAACATATTGGTACAAAGAAAAGAAAAAGGCAAACTTATACTCAAATCATAGGCTTACGAAACTACAGACCGGAAAAAAAACAACAATTTCAAATGTCCTGCATTGTGAATTTGTCGACCATCTCCTACAATGCACTAGGAAAAATGAACTCTCTGTGGCAAACTCTTGGTGGCGCACTGCATTGTGAAACGCCCGAATTAAATCACCAAGTGATAACCAACAGAAACCTCTGCTTACCACCAGATGGTATTATTATTTGAAGTTTTAAACACAATCACTCTGACAAATGTCAATAACAAATAGGATATATTAAGACAGCATTAAAGATTCACGATTATATTATCAGGTTCAGCCTATGGACTAAAAGCACTTTTTTTTTAAAAAATTTACAAAGAGAGTATTGAAAGAAAGGTTTGAAGATCGCTTAAATTGCACATGAAACAATTAAGCTGTACGGAACACGGACTTGAGACCCTTTTAAAGTTTGTTTTATTTTAGGCTTGTTAAGACGGAAAAATAGAACGCCTAAAATGACAATGACAACCATGGGCATGGGCTTTATTCATGAGTCGGCCATACTGAATAGAAAGTGAGGTAAAATCAACATTTTTGGAACTTGCGAAGAGAAATGAAAGCAGTTACATAAATTTTATTACAAATTAATGCCAGTCTGCTCTGATGGATAATTTAAAATTTGTGATTAATATACCCTACTGTTTTAAGCCACATTTAAAAAAAAAATTTAAAGTGAGGCTAGAATGCACAAATAGTATGGCACCATCCCATCAACAGTTCACAATTTATAAAATACATTCAGGGAACATGACCAAAATGGCTTCCTCGCGAATAAGGTCGATATACTTTGGTAAGAGCCTACCCTTGCGGCAATCTTGTTCTTTGCACTTAGTGACGACCTCCCCACCATCAGCAGCCTGGAACTTGAAATCCGGTTCGGCCCGCAGTCCCTTAGCATACTCCAGACACAGATACTGGTACTCCGTCTCGCAACCGATTGAGCTCAGGTCAAACTCGGAGTTGATGTCGTCGAAGCGGAGGGTCTGGCCCGATGTCAGGTCCTTGCTGGACAAGTCCCGGGAGAGGATCTGACGCTGGGGGCCGATCCGGGGACCACGGCCGTCCGGCCTGGTGGAGCCGAAGGCCCCGATACGCCACAGGTTCTCTCCGCTGACGCTGCCAGTGTTGGGTCTGGGTTCTACATTGACGTCGAATCTTACCGGCGTTGGACGGCCGGAGACAACTTCATCGGTTAAGACTTCCATCTCCCAATCCATATCATCAATGATCACACCTGGGCAATGGACAGTCAAGAAATAAACAGACACGAAATAGACAACGCTCATGAACAAAATGCGTCGCAGCAGCTTACATTGACACATACATGTCATTTAAAAGTCACGTCTAAAAGTCAGTGACGCATAGAAGAAATGTTCATCTCCAGCTGATGCACTCAGAAACTTCATCTGAGGTCATTCAGACTTTGCATGAGCGATTCCTGCTCTTCTTCTGACAGCGATTGCTGTGGAAGGAAGATCCACGTGAAGGTTCAGTGCTCAAAGATTTGAGGAGAGCAAAACACTACAGGCTTGAGTGTCACCTGAAGAATTCTACCCCAAGTTTTGGAAAGCACTGAGAATACACTATGCTATTAAAGTTGACAAATGTCAAATACTTTTTTTTCTTCAAACAAAAATGCAAATATCACTCCACCCAACTTCCTGTACAAGTGAAACTTTGTTACCAAGATTAAGAACAAAGACAAAACTGATTTGTTTTAAAACCCCGAGGATCCCCAATCAGCCAAACTCCAACACAAGGGTTTGGTGGAGTCCAGCTGTTCAGTGCACGGTTTAAAAGCACAGGGTGTCGGAATTTACAAGGATGAGGAAGGTTCCTAGTAAATCATTCTAGAAAGTTAGGTTTTTTTTTAATATGATCTAATTAAGACAATTGATTCCATAGTCAAAGGGGTTAAGACAAGGATATGTAGGAGAGTTGATCTCACCTTTGCACATGTCGTCAGGCACTTCCATACAGCTCCTCAAGACACTAGCGTCAGGGACAGGGCTCAACTCAAACTCTACCGGGGTCTCAGGATTACGGCTGAACTCGGTACACAGGTAATTGAGTCGCTCGCAGTCCACGTCGGTCATATCGTACTGTGTGTTGATGGGCTGGAAGTTGAGTGTTGAACCGGGGGTCAGCAGCTCGCGGCTGGAATAGTAGTCATCCAGGACTTGCTCCTGGGGGGCCAGACGTGGACCAGAGCCATCTGCGCGCTCGCTGCCGTACATGTTCAGTCGCCACATGTTGCGTCCGACCAGCGGTGAGCTTTCATCGGTGGTCTGCACGATGGTGTCAAACGAGATATCGTTTTCTGGCCTACCCTCGTACAGATCGCCTGAAGTTAGGGTCGACTCCACACCAGAGACGTACACAGCTGCCAAGCGTGAAAGAAACAAAGAAGAAAGGTAAAAGAATGCTCTTTTGGGATCATCGGACATACAAACATACATTTTGCTCTTCGCAAGACCATAATAAAATCTGCCCCAGAAGGTCTAATAAATGGTCACAGATTTGTGTAGATTTTGTGTTTCACGCAAATTTCAGGCAAACTGCCAATCAGGGTTAACGAGATTACTGAATGCACCTTGATTCTTCCCCAAAATTTTCAAATATGCAGCTTTTATTATGAACATTAAAAATAAGTCACTTACAGTTTCAATTATAAAATTGATTTTAAGTGGTCTTACTTCGGCACTCTTCCGGCAAACAGCTGACGATCGATCGCCGGCCAGAAGTGGTGGCATACGTGTAACCGGGGTTGGGGTAATCCCCTTTAGTGAACTCCATACACAGGTATTTGTACTCCCCGCATCCCAGATCTTCCATCGGAAAGTTGGTCCGGAGGTCTGTAAACTCCAGTGGTCCTCCGCCGTCGGGCAGTGTCTTGGCCTGGTTGGAGGCATCAAGGATCTGGGTGCGTTCCCCGAGGCGCACGCCCGAGCCGTTCATGCTGCGACTGCCAAACATGTTCATCTTCCACAGGCCGGTGCCCTGTACTGATGGACTGTCGGAGGTTGCGGACACCGTGGCGTCGATCGTCAACGGAGCTGGTACCCCGTATTGCATGGGGCCTACCTCACGAGACCAACTCATGTCAGAGAAGGTGACACCTGTACATAAAGTGAGTGAAGTAAACATTGGTTTTTTTTTTTTTCAATTTCATATTCAAACAATATGTGCTTCACAATAAAACAATGTTTTTGTCTTTCATTTTCGACGGCTGCTCTCGGTTATCATTCTACTTTTTTCCGGTGAATCGCTTTTTACCAACTTTTCAAAAACTGCTCCGTACAGTTTTTCTGACACAAAATTGCAAAAGTAATGGTTTTTTTAGCTATAATGGCTGATAATACAGCTTAGCAGGCAAATCCAAGGTTCTCACTTGATAAACAAGGATTTTTATTTGCTCCCTCAAGTAAAAGATATGACAGTCAAATGTCCAAACTCACCCTTGCAGTTTTCCAGCGGCGAGCAGCCAGTCAGAGCTCTCTGGTTGGGCACTCCCTCAAACTCGAAGGACGAGTACTCCTTACTGGGCTGGGCATCCTTGTTCTTGTTGAATTTGGCACAGATGTACTTGGCGTCACTGCAAGACTTTCCAGTCAGATCAAAGCTGTAGCTGATGTCGTTGATGTTGAAGACGCCTGTGGAATCCTTGACCAGGGACTGTGAGCGCTGCTCGGGGGTCAGTATCCTCTCTTGCATGGTTCCACGCAGGGGCCGGGAACCGTCCATCTCGCTACTCAGCCACATGTTGGTTGTCCATAGGTTCTCACCATCAACGCCGGTAGTCTCTTGGGTATTTACGTAGCTCACACCGAGATCCACTTGAACCGTGTTGGGGTTGCCCTCCTTGACTACGGTATTCTCACGTATTCTGGGGCTGACATTGTCAACTTGAACGACTGCTCCGCCTGGACAAAAAATTCAACGGTAAACTCTGTTAGGTAATCAGCTACAAAATTATTAATGAGATATAAACTGAAGTAATAATTCATTCATGAAATGTTGTTACATGTAGGCCTCTGAAAATCTTTACAAGAGGCGCAATGCATCGTAAAATGCCTGAAACCAGGTTCTTAATACACATCACAACTGTTGACATTCTAAACTCAAGACAACAAGTTAGGAAAACTTTCTCCCACGTAAGTAACAAATTTGATAAATTGATTGAAAAACCTTTGCAATCTTCAATTGGACTGCATCCGGTCAACACATCTTCACTGGGCCTGGCCTCAAAGTGGAATTCCAGAAAGGATTTCTCCACCTCCGGATTCTCCCCCTTCATGAACTTGGCGCAGAGATAGCGGGCCTCGTCGCAGGTCAGGTCCGACATGTCCACCTGGTAACGGATGTCGTTGATGTTGAAGTTTGTGGAGGCAGAGCCTTGTTTCTTGAGGTCCTGGGACTGTTGGCCTTCTGTTAGGACTTGCTCCACCAGGGTGCCAGGGAGCTGGACCGCGCCATCCTCCTGACTGCTCATCCACATGGAGGACTTCCACAGGCCTTGGCCAGCGACGCTGGTTGTCTCTCTGGTGTTGGCGTACAGCACGTCTAGGTTGACTGACAGATCGTTCTCCGCTCGACCTTCTTGGATGGACTGAGAGCCGGGAAGCACCGGTGTCACCTGATTCACAGTTACATCTCAAGAAAACAACAAAAGAAAAAGTATGAAATTATAACAATATGTACGGCGATCATGTAGAACTTTACAGGCCCCCCTTTAGTTTCGATCATTAGAGTCAAGGATTTTTTTTTTCCATTCAAAAATGACCTTTTCAACCTCAATCCAACAATTTATTATTATACCTTTTTTTTGGTTTCTTTTATTTTTGTGTTGCGTTTTGTTGCAGTCATCGTCATTTTACCCCCAAATTTTCCTCAAAAATTTGAATCCCTGCCCTCTTTCTATGACGTACCTGCGCCAACCCTGGGCAACAGCCAGTCAACTTTCGAAGTTGTGATGCCTTTTCGAGCATTGGCCTTTAAAAATGTTGATTGGTCAATTGGCCACCTTGTTTTTGTAAAAGGACAATGGGCTATTGAAGACCAAATAGAAGGCCCATGCTGAATGGTCAGAATCTGGAGGTCAAGACACTGTCTTGTTTTGCATAATTAATTGCTAAATCTGCGCACATACCATAGACGCTTGCTCTGCAAGGGGCTATTCCATAGACCAACTTGAGTCTTGAGCAAGTTTTGTTTTGTGGCCTAAATCTAGTCCGCAAATTTGGGACTCTCAATTCTGTGTACGAGAGTCCCAAAACTTAAGGTATTAAAACATGCAATACAAGCAAATAGACTTGCGTTTGAAACAACCAGTCTAGCTAACACGCATACGGCATCAGTGAACTGAACTGAGCCAAAAGAAACATGTGGCAGGAACTGGGAACTAGTCTCTATTTACTACACATTTCTCCATAGTCAGCCACCCGACTAATGACGCTGAATGGAGAGGCCAGTCTTTTCAAATAGTTGGACTATGGTTGGACATGTACCAGTCTAGTCTTTAGCCTCATTTTTGAAATCACTTGACATCCCCCTCATATGTGCAAAATATTGAAAAGAAATGTCTCCTTAAAAAATTAAATAGAGTTTGCATAATTTGTTGGTGAAATACTACGGACCTTTCCTTTGCCCAATGGAATTTTCGGAGAAATTTGCTGGCTAAAGCATTGAGTACAGTTGGCTTAATTTAGTTTTACACGTTTCAGAGCACTTCAGGTCCCATTGAAGCCTATATCCCCCCCCCAAAAAAAAGTCCAGCTTACTGTAGGGGCATGCTTTGCAGCATTCTCCAGGAAACTTGATGGGTTCTCGGCACGAGACAGGCTGGCAGGACTCAAACTTGCATTCGAGGGTGGAGTTGGTACAGGTACAGGCGGAACATTCACTCATCTTGTAGGTTTCACCGTGGAAGGATATCCTGTCGTTGTTGTCCTTACACGGCAAGTCGCTTGGGTATCCTCCAGGGCCAGCTCCAGGGTCAGCTACAGAACCAAACGAAATTGGACGAGTTTTAGCTTCGGTTCAGAAGTCGTTTCATGAAATATCCGGGGTAAAGTTCAGGACGGGTGTATCTGCAACAGGCTTATTGTATCAGGTATAAGTGGTTGGATTCTGAGCAACTTCGTTGGAATTTTATAAATTTAGTAGTTTTCATATAACACCCAAGTAAATCCTTGTCATTTGATTGGAGGATTGTAGGTCACGCGGCATTCGTTAATCGAACCATTGCATGGCCTGCGTCATAGGCATGGGTGTCGCCAGGATTTTTTTCTAGAGGGGGGCAAAACAAATTTTTCCCCCCAAAATTCCTGTATTTCTCAACATATTCTCGATTTATCACTTTTTAGGGGGGGGCAGGGACATTTTGCCCCCCCCCCCCAACTCATTAAGTTTACACCACTATGACTTCGCGCCTCTTTTTCTTTTTTCTCTTTTTTTTTTTTGGCTTTTCCGGGGGGAGGGGGGGGGGAGGAGGGGCAAGCGCCCCCCTTGCCCCCCCCCCCTCGCGACACCCATGGTCTTAGGCCGTGCATTTTGGTTCCTTTCATCAAGCATTTTCGTTCCATCCCTTTTGATCAATTGCAAGCTCGCGCACGCTAGACCAAAGATCATAATAGGCCACGCATAGATGCGCAGCGGCGCAATGTGATCTTTGCACCAGACCACATCCATGCGTTTTATACAGCAGTACAAAACTTGCCTTTGAAGCGGATGCACTTACGAGCTAAACTTGCCTTGCAGATTTGTTCGCATTGTTTTAAGAACTAACAGTATTAACTTTCATATTGTTAATGTTTTGACTTTTAAACCGTTGTTAACTTTGAATAAACTGAAAGAAAAAAAAGTGGATGCAAGAATACCATTTTGTCAATTTTGTTTGTTCTCATATATTCAACCCCCCCCCCCCCCATTTGAATGACAAAGATCTACCTGGAAGTTAATAAAGCAAATAATGAATGTTTTGCATTCCTGCAAAGGAGAGAATTTTCATTCGTTGAAAGATGGAATGTTCCATTCAACTCGCTTCAATCAATTTGGCATTGAATCAAGGGCAAGTGAATTACATTCAAGTTACTGGCTATTGACTTGTTCGAAAAGAGGTCATTTTTAGGTCAGAATTGATGTCTGAATTAAATCAAGGACATTTGGTTAATTGTCTTCGCTATAGGGTGAATAAAGTTAGCATTATCTTGTTTGTAGGTTGAAAAAAAAAGCCTAGCCCTCTCCATGTCATAAAAATTGTAAAGGGAACAAAATTGTCCCAACTTTCAAGACTCTCTAACAGATGTGTGCACACATCCATAAAAATGAGTTCTTATAAAAAAAAATATTAAAACAAAATTAAAACAAAAATTAGGTCTTGACCTACACTTGTGCATCAAGCAGCGAAAATTCTACTAGACTCTTGGTTTGTTGCACCGATCTTTTTTTTTTTACAAATTGGAACAATTTTGGGGTGATTCCCTGAACTCATTTTTTCATATTGCTACATTTGGTTTATGGCTGCTGACTGTAACAAGGTTCATATCAAATGAAGGACGACTGAAAATATTCAAAATAGAGGGTATGCACGGCCGTTTTCCCACAGTAAACTTATATGGAGATTTGACCTCAGTTAGGTCGTGCATCTCTCTACAGCCTCCGATGATGTCATATGCATGGACCTTATTAAAATAACTGTTTGGTTAGGGAAGGGTTTCTTTTGATTCCTTCCATCCTAAATAAATACAGCAGCAGCTGGCAAAATGTTGTTGAAAACAACAATTTCTCAAAGCTGGGTATTGCTGATTTCCATCATTCCATGCAACAAAATGTTAATCGTAAATATTGTAAAAATTGATCAAAACACGTCTCATGAGATCCCTGATTATACATTGTTTCCCCCCCCCCCCCAAGAAAAAAAAATTTAAATTAATAAAATTAAATCTGAGAACAATTAAGCTAATCTTTCTCTGACTTTGTATTAAAAAACTATTGGTCATATTTGTAGTTTGTATTCACAACAAATTTGCATAGTTTTTTTACATATCCGACCTGTGACATCTTTTACATTTGAATCTTACTTTCTTAACATTTTCTTTTTACAGTCAAGGGCGGATCCAGGGGGGGGGCCAAAGGGGGCCATGGCCCCCCCCCCCCCAAAAAAAACTAAACCAATTTTTTTTTTTTATGTGACATCGCAATAAAGGCAGGCAATGAGTACACCACCATCTTTTCCTAAAAAAAACATTGGTTAAAGTGGTCAGAAATTGCCTCAGATCGCACTACAGAGCATCAAGAATCCAAAAAATTTTCGCGGCCCTTAAGCGGGCCCCGAACCCCACGCCATAATTTTTTGGACCCACTTTTTTGGGGGACCTAAAATTTGTTTGGCCCCCCCAAAAAAAATTGTGTTCTGGATCCGCCCTTGTTTACAGTACATATTCCGATTGAGATTTAGTATCAAATATAAGTATAAACTTAGATATTGTCCAATTTTCCATCATTCATAAATTTGATTTCTTGTCCCAAAAATATATGAACCATTTTAATTTGATGGTACATGATATGTTCCCAACAGGCATATTTGTTTTCATAATTAAGATATTCAAGACTGATAATTCCTCCAAAAAAAAAGATTAGGCTGAGGATTTAAAAATTTATATTTTCAAGTGGGTATAATTTTATTAATAACAAATGCATATTTTATGTGGACAACATGTTAGTTTCTCTTTACCATAAATATTCTCTGTCAGCTTATTTGTTGAATTAGAGTACCTTGAGAAAAAGTCTCTCAATCTTTTTCCCACACTAACAAAAAACATAAATTACCATGGCTACAATTACATATTATTACCCCCCCCTTGCCTTGATGTCAACTATAAGTCTGAGCTCTTTCCAGCCTGTTTAAGCATTTGCTCTTCACACCTTCCAAGATAATTTTACTTGCCAGAAACAGTGTGAGATCTCCCAGCATGAAAGCCATGATCAATCATAACAACAGCCCTTTCCTTTATTATGAAACTTTTGGGGGAAGGGAGGGGCGTAAAATTCTACTCAAAGTAGGAAAACAAAACCACATGAGTTTCTGGTGAATAAGTTATATGCAGGCACGCAACTGGGAAATCACAAAAAAGGGCAAACTTTTCCCAGACTTTGCACAGAGTTTTTCTATTTTCAATGGCACACATGAGAAGTAAAAAAAAGAGGAAATCAGTTGATCCGAGGAAAAGTTGCATGCCTGTATATTATGTTAATTTCAAACCAAAACACACCTCAACTATAGGCAGGAAAACTATTCTGTTTGGAATATTATTCCACACACAAAAAAATTGCAAATAAGCAACTCTGTAAATTTTTTTCCAATTCCAAGGCAGACTGTGTTGCAAGGCCTGCAATGCTGAACGTGTCTTGCTGACATATGCAGTTTTTTTTTCTCGATATCTGTAGGTGACCTTAAGTGCACCATGAACTGTGCAGCTAGTGAGGGGGTCAACTTTAGGTACAGGGTAGGGTGAAAAAAAAACCCAAGGTATTTGTTTGCAAAAGATCGACTTAAAGGGATGGTTGTCTCGGTACATTATTCATATCTAAAACTGTATTCTGAATACAAGTTTCAAAAATCAGTAAGCAAAATAAAACCTCAATAAAGAATTGTGTAAGGTAAATCATGTAAATGCATCATTTTACTATCCATTTGTTCACATAAAGCACATACAAAATAGCTTGTCAAGTGGCTCAATAAAATCATCTATCAGTTTAACTTCAAGTGAGAAAAACAAGTCAGAAAATACAACTGTTGTACAATTGAAGTAGGACGATGATAAAGTTCAGTTATCCCAAAATACTTGACAAAAGACCACAATGTAAGATTGAGACATTTAAAGGTAAACTTTTTTTTTGAATGAACTTCATCCAATTGGAAATATGAGAAAAAAAAAACAGAATGAATCGAGCCCTTTGGCATCCGACTTACAGGTGCTGTCAGATGATGACGATTCAGAAGATGATACCTTTGAGTTTGATGATGAAGACTGGGCGTCGGTTCTCGTCGCGCACAAGACGGCCAAACAGAGTACAAGTAAACCCCACCGGGGGCGGGGCTTGGGGCCCACAAAGCTATACATGCTTCTTATCATGTACAATCTTTGTGCAGCATAAAAAAAAACAAGCCGCAGACAACTTTGCACCAGTTGGCCTACAAGATACACAGGGACTGCTGTACACCTCAAGCCTAGGCGATGGCTTGCAGTGGGCTACTGGGGCTCAATCAGCAGGTGTACGCCACTGGCCTTTTAAGGGGCTATTATGGGATGGAGGGCCACACTCAGGGGGGGTAGGAGCTTCAGCCAATCGGAAGGCTCCGTAGCTCCTGCTGTCTCGGCATCAGGAGTCTTAGCAGTAACTGAGAGGGAGAGCTTGGTGGTGTGAGCCGGCAACTCACTCAGGGGAGGACACCCAACTTATAATACCGCTCCTTGGTGAAATCCATTTTTTTTTCTGGCTCTCTTATTAAATCTCTGAAGTTTGAGGCATAGGTCAAGGAAAGGCAGGTCGTAACTCGGGGAGTTAATGCTAGCCCACTTAGCAGCCTTAAGTGGGGATTTCAAGGGGGAGGGTGGTGCGAAATGAATAAACACTGATTTTCTTGTTTTCTTCTTCTTGCTTTGGGGACTTGGAAATTGAAAATCCAGCGTGAAAATAATCATAATCTTTAACACTTTTATTATTTACAGAGATGCCACCAATATATCAATAAAAAGCCTGAAACACTACTAAAAAAACTGAAACTTCCCTTACCCCCTTTCAAAAATGTGTTTTCTTGATGTTTCAGACCAAATCCAGCACTTTTAATTTGTCACATTTTTTTGAAAAAAAAAACAACAACCCTGAATTCAGGTTAAAACCTGAAAAGTGGCATCTCTGTATTTACAACTACAATAGGTTCATTTTAGATTATAAAAAAAAGTATACCTGAAACAATGAAGTTCTGAAGGTCTAGTGCATAGAAAAATAATGTACATAACTAGACTTCACAACATTTAGGTCTCGCTAAATTTAAGTCCCAATCAAACCTAAAGGTACCATTAAAGACAAAAATGAAACGAATTGGACCGCCAACCCACCGCCCCCAAATTGTCTGTGATCATGTGACAATCTGGAGTGACCTGGGGGGAGTGGGGGACTCCACATGAATCATGTCTGAATTCTGAGTACTAACCAAACAGGTAATACGTTGACAAACAATAAGTAAAGCCAAATTTAAAAAAACATGTTAAGCGTCCCGCCCGCTGCCTTTTTGGAGGCCTTCTTCTTTTTTCTTCTGTTTTTTTTTTGAAAAAAAAAAAAAAAAACGAAAAAAAAGATACATTGCGAACAGTGACATCATTTTGGCCTCTTTGTCTGTTGCATCTAAATGTAGCCCATATAAAGCTGGTATGTCATTTCCTGAGTCCAAGTGACAGGCACAATTAAAAAAACTGGAAGCCATCTTGAAAAATAGCCCAGTCGGGCGGCCATTTTGGAGGGAAGTAAAAAAAAGGGCCCCCTCCTTCCTTTTTGCAAAAAAGGCAGGACGCTGAACATGTTTTTTTTTATTATGCCTAAAAGTTCATTTTATGGAAACAAAAAACATATTTTTAGAGCCACATTATGAAAGTAATTTCCTGTAATACGCTAATTTCCTTACCTTCAGCATTTCTTGGCTTTTCATTTTAATATCACTTTCACACTGTAGTACGCGCATCTATGAAGGAATTGAGAAAATATAAATTGAATGAGTAAATTAATGACGGTATCATTTTTATTTTATTTGTTGTTTATTCGTTCACATTTATGCATTGAGTCAAGAGTGAAACATCATTTTAACTGTCAGATTTTATGTTTTGAATATGAGGAACAAGTCCACTTTTTTTCCTGAAATATTGATGGCAATTTTTGTCTGTTTTCCTTTGCAAGTTTAAAAAGAAATCAATATGATTTTACTTTTTTTCTCATAACTAAAACATGGAAAAACAAACCAGCAAACAACAAGTTAACTTAATTAAAGCTACAGTCCATCATTTGCAGCTATCCAAAAGGAAACTGACATAATCATTGTTGCAAAACATACTTGGTTGAAAGATAGTAAGGGGACTAAACTCCCTGTGAAATTATTTTTTATTTTGGCAAGCCGTCATTTTGAAGAAATCAATGAAAGAGGGCCTTTTCAACGGTGCGTTTAAAGATGATGCATCATTGGAAATGTCCGTTAGTAAATCATTTCATTTTTTTTTATTCGGTAAAGTGCGCGCAAGCGTTGACACGACGTACACGCGCGCCCAGTTGCTATAATTCGTCGGTTCAGTGCGCAGCATCGCGTAGCTGCATCGGATGCTGAATTCAGGCCCAATTCAAAACATGCCTCTGCTACTTTTGATTTGAAATCAAGATCCTAGAATATTGTTTTCTCAGAATATACAGCATTCACCAAGCTGAAACTTCATCAGGTTAGTTGTCCAACACCATTCTTAAGATTGGGAGCACTTTTGTTGCTTCAAACGAACATAATGCACAAATTACAAATGATGGCCTATACCTTTGAACAAAAACTACCCCCCCCCCCCAAAAAAAAAAAAATTCCGATCCCAAAATTTAACCAAAATAGTTTTTGGCCAAGGCATGCTTTGCAGCTGAAAAATGTCCATGCAAGATAAGGTGACAAAGGTCCAGGAGATTATTACTGGGTGTCGAAAACCCCATCACATAACGGCTGTGTTATTTACACACCATGCCAGCTATACCTTCCCACAAGCATCAGCTAAACCTGATCACCCCAAGGAAAAAATCCCAGCCAAAACGACCTTCCAGTTTTTTGTTTTCTTTGACCATGGAGCTATATATTAGCTCATGCTTTGACCAAGGACCATGACCAGTGGACACTCCTTGAAATCACAACAGTTAGGTCAAACATAAATGAGTCAAAATCAAATAATTAGGCACCATGAAAGACGACAAAGTGATAAGGTGGGCGCAGCTCCCCTCCCCAAAAATAGAAACAACACTCAATTTTGGTACATGTATGTATATTCATTGATTGCCAGTGATCATTTGACACTTGATGTTGAGCAGGGGAACAAAATCATCATAAATCAGTCACCTACCAGGTACCCAAATTCAAGTACCTGGTTGTCTAGACTATGTGGACAAACAGGGGTGCAGGTGTAGGTCAAAAAGAATATAGGCACTAAGGGAACATGATAGGGGAAAAGGTACTCTTTAATCACACGAACATAGAAAAACTCTGGGGAGATGCTGCATGCAACATTTCATGGGCTTCCAAATGTGTTATGAAAGTGACTTTTGAACTTCTAGCAACTCACATGAAGACAACCATATGTGACTGTCATTCAAGTCAGTTTTATAAAGCGGCAACATCTGACTACAAGAAACAGGCAACGTTATCAATAAAGGCAAGTCTTATTGACCCAAAACAAATGAACTGTGCGGTCACTAACGCACCTTTGTGAAATCCTTTCCTAGTGGTAGATGAAGGTTATGTTCTCTAGCATGCTGGGAAAGAGATTTAAAGGTAGAGTCGACCATTTGCAGCTATCCAAAAAGTGACAGACCAAATTACTGTTAAAAAGCTTCTTAATTGGTTTAAACGCAGTAATTGAACTAAACCCCCAGTGAAATTATTCCTTCTGGCATGCTGTCATTTTAAAGAAAACATGCAACAAGGTCACTCCCAAAGATGTGTCAAGTGACACATTTTTGGAAATTTCCGTTAGTAGTTGGTTTTGTAATGGGGGACTCTGTGAATGGATGTGCGCGCAAGTGATGACTCGACACACAGGCGCGCGTAGTTGCTATTATTTGTCGGTTCAGTGCGTGACATCGTATAGCTTCAATCAGCTGAATGAGAACGTGTCCCGGATGCTGATTTCGGGCCCAATTCAAATATGACTCAACAACTTTTGAATTGAAATCAAGATCCTGGAATATTGTTTTCTCAGAATATATACAGCATTCCTTGAGCAAAAACTTCATCAGGTTAATTCTAAAAGCAACCTTCTTAAGATTTGATGCACTTTTGTTGCTTAAAAAAAATGCACCAATTGCTTTGAGGATGTCATTTTTTATCTTTTATTTTAATGGTATCAAAGGCTGTAATCCGCATGTAGGTCATACTTCAGCTCTGCAGTAAAAGATATGCACAGTTTAATTCCTCGTCTGCAAAATTATCAAAAGTACATGACAGCATTAGCTGCATGTAGAGCAACTGTAGGGCATTTTTGTACATTGAATGAGAAGTTGCAAGTGTTGCAGATTCTACTCGGAAGTGGTTCTACTTTCACTGATTGATAGTTCAGAGTTTCTTGTTTATCTGACGTCTCTTGGGTTAAGGTCGATCAGTTGCAGCTTAAGATGATGCATCGGACAGACAAGTGCGGGGGAAGTAGATTTGCCACTTTACCTGACGTATTTAAGGTACAGGTGGGAAAAACATGAGAGACACGTACATGAAAATGAGAATTCGAGGGGGGAAAAAAAGACTAATAGGGTCAGCCAAAATTTGTCACGCCATGAAAACCAGCAGAGGGAGGGAAACTGGCGGTCTAAAATTACAGTCCCAAACCAGGCGAATCAAATTTAAACAAGCAGTCTGTACCTTTTTAGGCTTTTAAAAAAGCAGACGTCAAAATACAAAGGCCTGCCACAAGGATCAGGCGTAAATACTTTCTTATTAATTATCTGCATTGTGAGAGGAAAAAACTGAGGTATGGGTAAGGTTCGATGCTTGGGATTTCGCCTTTGTGATCAAAATCTAACTTTGAAAAACATACTGAAAAAGTGCTTATAAAAGTCCATTTGGCATGATTTTAAAATTCAGTTTCATTCTTCCTTAAATTCTCTCAAACCCTAGCTCCCTATTTAAGTAGAAGACCATGTCTGTCAAAATCCATCACGCACTCTGCTTCACATAATGCTTCAGGACCAAATCGGTTAAAATCCACCACTGGTGCAGGTGGATTTTGATGGACTTGGAACACCACGACTGTTGTGCCAAAACCCCCCAAAATGGAGGGATGGATTTTGATGGAGTTGATATGGTTAAGTTGTTACATTTTGGATTTTTTTCAGATCTGAGTTGCTACCTAAAAAGAGGGTGAGTTTTGATTTAGGCCTAGGACATGTAGAACCAGACCTGATACATAATTGCACAAAAAAAATAAAGTCATACTTTCACTTCACTAGACACTGAAGAAGGGTGAATTAGGCCCACAAATGTCGCCGTG